CATCACCTTCCTTGATCTGCACGCGGTAGTAAACTAAACTCTGAGGTTTAGTTTGGTAAACACCTTTCCCTTTGCCAGTGGTTGAGCATGTCCTTTATGGGGGGGGGGGATAGGTGTTTTCCATGCACACTGTATTAATTCCATGGAAATCAATGCAAAGCCTCACCCCCGCCTTTTTCTCTTTAAAAAGTATGGGTGCCATGACCTTAGATTTAGCGGGCTGGATAAATCCTCTTGCTAAGTTTGTATCAATGTATTTCCTCAATTCGCCCATCTCCTTACGGGTCATGGAATACTATTTTGATTTAGGCAGCTTTGCCCCTGGCACAAATTCTATTGCACAGTCCGTAGGTCGATGTGGGGGGAACACATTGCATTTGTCTTCACTGAAAATTCCTAAGTCTTTGTACTCTTTGGGTATTCTCAGGCAGCAAAGCCGAGCCTCCCTGGTGGAGGCTATTCCTTCGATTTGGCTGAGGTTGCATGGTCCTGGAGAGGACCAGTTCTTGGTTCAATGCTCACTTTTAGCTTCCAATAGCTGTCTCCCCATGTGATGGTCAGGGCCCACTTGTCTAGCCAGGACAGACCAAAAGATGAGTGACTCAGTCATTTTTGGGGCAACTATGAATTGTATGATTTCCCAGTGGTGCCCAATTTCCAGTCTTACAGGTTTGGTGACTAAGGTTGTGGGTGCGCCACCCACTAGTGATCCATCCAACTGCTCAAACTGGATGGGGCGGCTCAAGGTTCATGTCTCCAACTCTACAACCTGCACTGTTTGGGAGCTGAGTGCAAAGCACCTGGTGCAACCAGTGTCTATTATGGCCCATGGGTGCCTGTCCTGGGTACTACTTTGTGAGACTTTATGGCAAAGGTACAGATGGCTTCACTTACCATCGGTCCTCCTCGCCACTTCTGCTGGTGTCGGCAGCCTCTGGAGCCAGAGTCCCCCCCCCCCGGTACAGTGGAGGAGGGACCTGCACAGCTTGCCAAATGAATTTGCCTTTGTCTTGTGGCTTTCTGGGAGTTTTTCTCAATTTTTCAGCCACTGGCGTTCACCCCTGAGGGACTGGAGCTGATACAAGGCATTTGGAGGCTTGGTGGCCCAGTTGGCCGCATCTGAAGCACTTTATGATGGGCGTGGCTGCCGGTCTCATCTCCACTGGCTGCTTAATGGCAACTTGACATCACAATAGTCATTTGGGGACCTTTTCTGGTGTGGATCTTCTGTGGGGGTGAATTTCCATAGTCCATAGTCACCACCATTCGATACCAGTCTTGGATCTGGTTTGGTACTCCCCTGTAGGTGCATCAGTGCTGAAATGCAAAATCTTTTGCTACTGTTTCTGTGGGTGTGGCTTGGGGCATGGCTTGGTGGGGTCATGTGACTGGGTGGGCATTGCCAACTTTTTTTTTCTTTTTTAAAGCATTTTTTACTACCTATTTGCCTGAACCGGTAGTAAAAAAATGCTTTTAAAAAAGTAAAAAAATGGTTCCGATGACACATGGCACAGCTGATTGACAATATAAGTGTTAAGCCTGTAAGTGTTAAAAAACATAAGTGTGCCCAAATAAAACACATTCCATTATGGCTGACTATAATAGCTCGATGATTCAGTAAAATGAACTACAAATAACCTATTCCTATTTTAAGCAAGATTAAAATGACTAAATCCAGCCACTGATGTTCAAAGTCCTATTGAGTTAGGAAATTTGCTGGAAGTTCCAGACTTGTGGTTAGCAGGGATTCAAACATTCATGCATGCTATTATTTAGCACAATACAAGCAAGAACTTAGCAGTTTCATGGTTTACTCAACCTAATTTTCTGGGTCCACATGGCACTGGCTGATAAACTACATGGGCTGGATTCACACTGGAAGCTACATTAAACCATGATTGGTTTGTTTCTTGATAAGTGGGTGCAAAAGTCAATTTACTACTGTCTCATGTCTTTCATAACAAAGCTCTTTATTAATTGGTTTGAAGCTATCAATCCAAAATCCTAATCTCACTTTGCTTTCCATTAGATTTTCAAGACAGTTGAAACCACAGACTACTTGATCCTAATTTAGTCAACTATATTGTGTAATTTCACCCCTGTGGTTAGTTGATGGATGTGTGCAAAAGTGGGCACAGAAATACATTAACCACAGGGAGGCTTGTGAACGCAGCCTTCTCCTGTTGTTTTTATATGTCGATCGGGTTTGGGCAGTGGAGTATCTTTTAAGTTTGAGACCCAGTAGTTTGCAATGGAAGGAACACAAAGAAATGCATTTTTCACAGTATTTTAACCTTCTGTGGATAATGAAGAGAAAAAGTTCAGCGCGTTTTAGTAGAAAAGGGGAAAAATGGGTCACTCCGCAGCAAAATGTATCGGATGTTACAGGCTTCAAAATGGAGCAAATCCCTGTTCCTGCGTGGACCTCTAAGCACCTCCACGAAGCAATGCCGCCCTTCTGCGTTACCTTCTCTCCTGACAGAACGGAGCCACAACAGACCATTCAGCTTGCTGTTCGGATGGCTGGGCTGTCACCTTCAGTCACTGAAAACTGCGGCCTTCAGCCTCCTCTTGCCCTGGTCCACCTCCAGGAGGCGGGCAGTGGGAGAGACCATTGCCTCCCTGCACTGCCTTCCCCCCCTCTCACCCGGGCCACCCTGACTGGCAGGCACTTCAGCGTCTGCAGCCGATGGCCCGGAGTGGTGTGTGAAGGAGTTGCATCTGTGGCCACATTTGCTCACCCACACAGCAGGCAAGGGAAGTGGGCAGAAGTTGCCAGGAGCCATCACCAGGCAGCTGGGCAGCCTGGTGGCATGAAAGCAAAGTCTCACACCGAGGGTGAGAACTTCTGGTGGGAATCCTATCGCTCCTGGTGCAGGCAACAGTCTCTGAGCACAGGCAAAGTGCGCCTTGGTCGAGAAAGGACTGTGCGGCAGAGGAGTTCCTTCTCGAATGTGAGTTGAGAGGAACACACACTTTTCTGTGGAGAATTAGATAAGTCCCTGCAGGCTTGCAGGGTTAATGGAAGGGAGGTACTTCTGAGGATATCCAGAGGGCACTTTAAGTTGTGGGGGGGGGACATACTTGGTCTCTCAAGCGGGCTTCTTACTGCTGGGAAAAGAAAAATGTTTGAATTGCCTCTAAGACGGCAACATTCACCTGTGCAGCTCTCCCACCCCCAAATGCCTGTCAGTGCGTCCTGAGTGTACTGGAGCCTCTCATCTCCCCTTTTATCCCAAACGGGCTGCTTGCAGGCCTGAGGGAAACACTACCAAAAGGCTATTGGGCTGGTGAGGGTGAAGGGGACATCCCCAAGTCCTTTTTAGGACCCTATCTGGGACCATCCCCACTGTGCCCTTCTCATGCATCTGCTGGCACCATTATCCTCAGGGAGTTTTCTTTTGCAAGCAGGTGAGACAAGGAAGGGGGAAGCCAATTGACAATCAGCTGTGCCGCACAATTGTTGGAACCTTTTTTTTTTACTTTTGTAAAGCATTTTTTTTATTACTGGTTCGGCAAATAGGTAATAAAAATGCTTTTAAAAAGTAAAAAAAGAGGTTCCGATCATCACGCGACACAGCTGTGATCGTCAGAACCATTTTCTTTACTTTTTAAAGCATTTTTACTACTGGTTCGCTGAATAGCTTCCAATCCTAGTGGGGCTGCTGATCCAGTTCCTTCACCCATCAGGAGCTGGCAAAGCTGTCGGGGCCGGAGGCACCATGCCACCCCCCACCCCCCATGAGACAGAGCTGGTGCCTGGAGAGATGGCACAGGCTGCAGGCACTGTGGACTACGGTGCCCATCAGCCAGCCAGAGTGGCCAGAGGGCAGGCTGATGGGAGCCCGGAGTGTGCAGGATCCCCGGAGGGGGTCTCTCCTACTTGCCTGCCCAAGGAAACCTGCAGCAGCTGGGGATGGGTGAGGGCAGAGACTGTCTCTCCCCGCCCTCCCCAGGTATGGCTTGACCCCAATTGCCCACCCCCTGGGGGAAAATGGAGGGGAGGGGGTGGGGAAGCTGGAGGGGAGGGCATTTCTGTGGCTTCTTTGTTTGCCATCCGGCTTTCGGTCTGGGCAGAAAGCAGCTGGGTGGGTGTCCTTGGCACAGGAGGGGAGGGTCCCACAGAAGTGGGGAGGGTCTGCAGAGAGAGGGGGGGCTGGAAGGTCACAGAGGTCGACCTTGGAAATGCAGCTGGAGGAGGAGAGGGTGGGTTGGAAAGGGCAGCCAGGAGAGAGCTGGCTAGGAGGAGGGAGACCTCTTAACACACACAGAGAGCAGGGAGGCAGTGCCAGCTTCCCCCCCCCCCCCCATGTGCCCTTGGCAGGGTGGATTCCAGGCCTGGAACAAGGGTTGTTTCCATTGGGGGAGAGCGCGGGGGAGGGGCTGTTGCTTGGCACGTGGGCAGCCTCAGTGGGAAGCAGGGAAACAGCAGAGCCTGGTGACAGTGATGGAGGGGGGGGTGGAAGGAAGAGGGGGAGGGGAAGGGGGGAGGGAACAAGGGAGGGTGGGAGAGGAGAGGGAGGGAGGAAGGAAGGAAGGAAAGAAGGAAGAAAGGAAGGAAAGACGGACGGATGGATAAATGGAAGAAAAGGAAAGAGGAGGAGAGGAGAAAAGAAAGAAGGAAAGATGGAAGGAAGGAAGGGGAGGAGGAGAAGAGGAGAGGAGAGAGGGGGAAGGAAAGATGGATGGATGGAAGGAAGGAAGGAAGGGGAGGAGGAAAGAAGGAAGGAGGGAAGGAAGGAAGGAGAGGAGGAGAGGAGGAGAGGGGGAAGGAAAGATGGATGGACGGACGGACGGATGGATGGAAGGGAATGGGAGGAGGAGAGGAAGAAAGGGAAGGAGGGAGGGAAGGAAAGAAGGAGAGGAGGAGAAGGAAAGATGGATGGATCGGAGGAAGGGGAGGAGGAAGGAAGGAAGGAAAGACGGATGGATGGATGGAAGGAAGGAAGGGGAGGAGGAGAGGGGGAAGGAAAGATGGATGGATGGGAGGAAGGGGAGGAAGGAAGGAAGGAAAGATGTTACAGCCAACGTTACAACGATCCTGGAAAAAGTGGCCTATGACTATTTTTCACACTTACGACCACAGCAGCGTCCTCGTGGGCAGGTGATCAAAAGTTGGACGCTTGGCAACCGGCCTGTATTTATGACGGTTACAGCGTGCCGATGTGTGTGTGTGTGTGTGTGTGTGTGTGTGTGTGTGTCACACGATCCCCTGTTGCGGAGCGAAGTCAACGGGGAAGCCAGATTCACTCAATAACCATGGGACTAACTTAACAACTGTGGCAAGAGAGGCCGTAAAATAAAGCGAAACTCACTTCCCAACTCACGTAGCTTTGGGCTCAATCGCGGCTGTACGTCCAGGGCTCCCTGTAGTTGAAGCTTCTGGATACTCTTCAAGGGCAGCCCCACGTACAGCACATTACAGTAGTCCAGACGGGAGGTGGCCAGCACGCGAGGAACCGTGAGACTGTGTGGGTTGCGCCAATGCCAGCTTGGGGACTATTCAGTGAGCAAGTTTTTTCTCTCTCTCTCTCTCTCGTTGCAGACGATTCCTCCTCGGAGAGTTGTAGCGGGAACGGCTCCTCCACCTTGAACCCTTCCACCTCCAGCAGCACTCAGGGCGATGCCACCTACACCGAGGTGAACGGCAATGGAGCGGGCGCCCCCATGGATTTCAGTGCCTCGTCGGAGGACCAGCCCATCAACCTCTGCGACAAGTTGGCCCCCGCTCACGTCGCCAATGCCTACCAGTCGGACAGCTGCAGCGCCGACGGCCTGCGCAGCCGGACGAAGTACGGAGCCAAAAGCACAACAGAGGTGGGTTCGGAGGCTCCCGCTGGCTGAGGTGCCACTGCCGCTAGCACACCGCTGTGAATTCCCATGACCTGTTGTGACCTCTCGGCCACCGGCCCCTCCAGCAGCCGAATCAGAGGAGGAGGAGGAGGAGTTGTGGGAGTCATTAAAATACGTGGACTTCAACTCCCAGAATTCCCCAGCATCTTTCATTTCATTTCATTTTTCATTTATTCGAATTTCTATACCGCCCTTCTCCTTTCGGACTCAGGGCGGTGAACAGCCCGATAAAAAACATCTATACAAACATCACAGTTAAAAAATAAAGTTAAAATAATTTATAAATTTGGCCCATAATTTAAAACTTGTCAATTAAAATAAATATTAAAATTTTAAAACTAACCCTAAAATCAGGACAGACCGGCTAGCTGAAAAAAATAAGTTTTTAGGGCCCGACGAAAAGTCCGGAGGTCGGAGATCACTCGTATCTCTGGGGGAAGGTTGTTCCAGAGGGTGGGCGCCGCCACAGAGAAGGCTCTCCCCCTGGGGGTCGCCAGCCGACATTGTCTGGCGGACGGCACCCTGAGGAGGCCCTCTCTGTGGGAGCGAACCGGCCGGTGGGAGGCTATTGGTGGCAGAAGGCGGTCTCGTAAGTACCCCGGCCCTAAGCCATGGAGCGCTTTAAAGGTGGTCACCAACACCTTGAAGCGCACCCGGAAGTCCACCGGAAGCCAGTGCAGCTCGCGCAGGAGAGGTGTCACATAGGAGCGCCTCGTCGCCCCCATAATCCCCCGCGCAGCCGCGTTCTGGACCAACTGGAGCCTCCGGGTGCACCCCAGGGGGAGCCCCATGTAGAGAGCGTTACAATAGTCCAGACGAGAAGTGACGAGTGCTTGAGTGACCGTGCGTAGGGAGTCCCGGTCCAGAAAGGAGTGCAACTGGCGTATCAGGCGGACCTGATAGAAGGCCCCCCTGGCCATTTTAAATGTCTCTTCAACGTTTAATGTATCTTAAAGGGGCCAAGATTGGCCAACACTGGTTTAGACTTTGGTTTAAAACATAGGGCAGGAAGTTGCTTTCCTTGGGACCTTCTGATAGGAATCAAGAGGCCTTCTGGGGATGACAAGTGAGGTGGGGCTACAGTGAGACCATCTATCTCTCTTCGAGGAGAGCAGGGTGGTGGATGAGGAGGGGACCCCCAGGCTGACCCTGGCTAGATAACTCTGCAATGCCCCTACAGCGGTTGTGGGTGACCCCCAGCAAGGGCTAGGAGGTGCCCTCTGCCCGTCTATGAAGTTGACGTCACCAAGAGATATTGGTGGTCCTCAAGACCTAGAGACCTAGAGAAGTGTTTCTCAACCTTGGAAGCTGGAAGATGGGTGGACCTAGAGCAGTGTTTCTCAACCTTGGAAGACCTAGAGCAGTGTTTCTCAACCTTGGAAGACCTAGAGTAGTGTTTCTCAACCTTGGAAGCTGGAAGATGGGTGGACTTCAACTCCAGAATCCCCCAGCCAGCAGCGCTGGCTGGGGGATTCTGGGAGTTGAAGTCCACCCATCTTCCAGCTTCCAAGGTTGAGAAACACTGGCCTAGAGGCAGACCTAAGGAAGGGTGACCCTGGGGGAAAGCTGAAAGTCCAGGCAAGATGACGGGGATAAGCAGAAGGGTCCATGGTCTTGACGTCTTCCTCCTCTCTCGGCAGTCCCCTCCCTACAGCTCCGGCAGCTATGACTCGGTCAAGACGGAAGTCAGCGGATGTCCCGAGGACCTGACCGTGGGCAGAGCTCCCACCGCCGACGATGACGACGATGACCACGATGACCACGAGGACAACGACAAGATGAACGACTCGGAGGGCATGGATCCCGAGCGGCTAAAGGCTTTCAATGTACGGGCCGAGAACGATCACCCTAACCCTAACCCTAACGCCCGACCGGTTGCTCGATCGCATGTTCGCCCACGGACAGAATCTTGCCAGACTAAAGTCTTTACAGAGAGAGTCCTGCGCTAACAATCACAATGAGGAACGGGGAGTTCCACTGCCAAGAAAGGCAGTTGTGAGTGAGTCACACCCGACCTTTTTTTTTTTTTGCCACGGTTGTTAAACAGAACACTGCGGTTGCTAAGTGAATCATGCGGTCATTAATGGAATCTGGCTATTCCCCCCCCCCATTTGACTTTCCTTGTTGGAAGCTGGCTGGGAAGGTTGCAAATGGAGAACTTACCGATGCTTGCAACCATCGTAAATGGTAAATGCCAACTGCCCATGACCCCGGGGAGGTGGTGATGGTCGTAAGTGGAGGACTGGTCGTAAGTCTTTTTTTTTTTTCCCCGGTGCTGTTGTAACTTTGAATGGTGGAAGGTTGAGGACTACCAGTGTACAAGTATAGATATGATTATTATGATGATTTATTATTATTTATTAGATTATTATTTTATTGGTTATAATAGCTCAGCACTTCTCCCCAAGGACCTAGAAGTTAGGGTATCGTCAGTGAAGCTGTTCAATAATAATAAAAAAATAATAATAACAATAATAATAATAATAATAATAATAATAATAATAATAATAATAATAATAATAATAATAATAATAAACTGACCGTGTTGAAAATCACACAATTGTGCCAAATTTTGGATTTGAGTACAGCAAAAAACCACTAACAATCAATTGAGAAATTTTAGAGAATGAGAATCAAGATCTTACTTTAGGATAGACTGACAGCACTTGGTCCACAACACACCTGACATAACAATAGTTGAAAAGAAAAAAGTGTGGTTCATTGACATTGCAATACCTGTGATGCACGGATTGAAGATAAGCAGCAAGAAAAAATCACAAAGTACCGGACTTGCAAATTGAAGTTGAGTGACTGGAAAAAGAAATCAGTGTTGTCCGATTGTAATTGACCCTTGGAGCAATACAAAGGGCTACCCCGCTATTTAGAAATCTAAATTTGCCGGACTTGAACATGACTCTACAAAAACCACCTTACTGAAGGCTTACATGACGATACCTTAACAGTTCCTAGGTCCTTGGTTAGGACTCGAGCTGCTGAGCAACCAGCCTCAAAAGCTGTGAATCTCACTAAAGATTAACCAATTAATAATAATAATAATAATAATAATAAAATAATAATAATAATAATAATAATAATAATGTAAGCCGCCTTCTGAAGGATTCAGGGCGGCTCACAGCAATAAGAAACAGGAATACGGCAATAAAACAAAATATCAATAAATAAGTTAAACGAATAAATTCAAAAAGATTTAAGATTAAAAAAAGCTACAAAAAATTTATAGATGGTCCTGGCCAAAAACCACTGTGAGAGGGACCTTGGAGTCCCAACGGACGGTCCCTTAGACATAAGCCAGCCGTGTGCGGCAGCAGCCAAAAAGGCCAAGACGATCCTTGGTTGCATAAACGGGATGGAATAGAATAAGTATATAAAATCTTAGTAAAGCCACACCTGGAATCCTTCATCCAGCTTTGGTCATCACAAATTACAAAAAAAAGAGGTTGAGACTTTGGAAAAAGTGCAGAGAAGAGCAGCTAAGAGGATCAAAGACCTGGAGGCTAAAATATATATGAAGAATGGTTGCAGGATTTGGGTCTGGCTAGTCTAGAGAAAAGAAGAATTAGGGGTGACATGATAACAGGATTCCAGTATTTGAGAGGCTGCCACAAAGAAGAGGGGGGTCAAATTATTCTCCAAAGCCCCTGAAGGCAGGACAAGAAGTAATGGATGGAAGCTAACCAAAGAGAGAAGCAACCTGAAATTAAGGAGAAGCTTCCTGACAGTGAGGACATGCTAGCGAATGGCCAGTGTAGGTGCTCCCATCACGGGTTTTTTAACAAGAACTTGGACAACTGTTTGTCTGAAATGGTATAGGGTTGGACTAGAAGACCTCTAAGACCTCTCACACTTATGACGGTGGCAGCCTCCCTGTGATCACAAAATCAAAATTCAAAATTCAGATGCCTGACAATTGGCATGTATTTATGATGGTTTCACAATGTCCCAGGGTCATGTGATCCCTAGCGCGGCGGTTAGAATGCAGTATTGCAGGCAAACTCTGCCCACAGAATGGAGTTCATCCTGACCAGCTCACGTTGACTCAGCCTTCCATCCTTCCAAGGCCTGTAAAATGAGGACCCAGATTGTTGGGGGCAAGAGGCTGAATCTGTAAACCATTATATCTATCTATCATCTATCTATCTATCTATCTATCTATCTATCTATCTATCTATCTCTATCTATCTATCTATCATCTATCTATCCATCTCTTATCTGTCTGTCTGTCTGTCTATCTATCTATCCATCTCTTATCTATCTTCTATCTATCTATCTATCTATCATCTATCTATCTATCTATCTATCATCTATCTGTCTATCTATCTATCTATCTATCTATCTATCTATCTATCTATCTATCTATCTATCTATCTATCTCTATCCACCCACCTGCCCACCTATCTATCCATCCATCCATCATCTATCATCTGTCTATCTATCTATCTATCTATCTATCTATCTATCTATCTATCTATCTATCTATCATCTATCTATCTCTATCCATCTATCATCTATCTATCTATCTATCTCTATCCACCCACCCACCTATCTATCTATCTCTATCTCTATCCATCCACCTGCCCACCTATCTATCTATCCATCCATCCATCCATCCATCCATCCATCCATCCATCCATCCATCATCTATCATCTATCATCTATCTATCTATCTATCTATCTATCTATCTATCTATCTATCTATATCTATCTATCTATCTATCTATCTATCTATCTATCATCTATCTATCTATCTATCTATCTATCATCACCCATTATATATCTGGTGGTGCAGTGGTTAGAAGCCAGTATTGCAGGCAAACTCTGCCTACAGCCAGGAGTTCGATCCTGACCAGCTCAAGATTGACTCAGCCTTACGTCCTTCATGAGATCAGTAAAATGAGGACCCAAATTGTTGGGGGGGGGGAAATGCTGACTCTATAAAGCAGCATATAAATTTGCTATTTTGTGACCTTCCTGGCCAGCTTCCTACAAGCAAAGTCAATAGGGGAAGTCAGAGTCGCTTAGCGACCCCATGATTCATTTAACGACCGTGGCAAAAAAAAAAAGCTGTGAAATGGGGCGCAACTCACTTAAGCCCTGTCTGGCCAAACAACAGAACTGTTGAGCTCATTTGCGGTCCTAAGATGAGGACACACACACACACACCGAGGTGTCTTACGCAGGCCTGGCGAGAGGAAAGGGCTGATCGGTCTCCCATTATCTCTGCAGATGTTTGTGCGTCTCTTCGTGGACGAGAACCTGGACCGGATGGTGCCCATCTCCAAGCAGCCCAAAGAGAAGATCCAGGCCATCATCGAATCCTGCAGCCGGCAATTCCCGGAGTTCCAGGAACGCGCTCGCAAACGCATCCGCACTTACCTCAAATCTTGCCGTCGCATGAAGAAGAACGGCATGGAAATGGTGAGGGAGGGTCTTCTCGGTGGCCCCCTCCTTCCCCGCCCTGTTTTTCACTGCCTCTTTCCCCTCTTTTCCTCCTTCAAAATGTCAGCTGGGTCTATGGGCCATCTCTGGGTGGTCTTTTCCAGAGAAAGCTCAAGTCCTTCCAGAGGCCCTGCTGTTGAGGCAATGAAACATCTGGAGCAGTGGTGGGCAACTCTGGCCACTTTACCACCTGTGGACTTCAAGTCCCAGAATTCCTGAGCCAGATATGCCTGCTATGGCCCTTTCATGACTTCTGGACTTCAACTCCCAGAATTCCTGGGGCAGCCATGCTGGCTTTAGTCCTTTCGTGACATGTAGACTTCAACTCCCAGAATTCCTGAGACAGCCATACTGGCTATGGCCCTTTCATGGCTTATGGACTTCAACTCCCAGAATTCCTGAGACAGCCATACTGGCTATGGCCCTTTCGTGACTTGTGGACTTCAACTCCCAGAATTCCCGAGGCAGCCATGCTGGCTTTCGCCCTTTCGTGACATGTGGACTTCGACTCCCAGAATTCCTGGGGCAGCCATGCCAACTGTGACCCCTTTATAACTTGTGGACTGGCTCAGGAATTCTGGGAGTTGAAGTCCACAGATGGTAAAGTGGCCAGAGTTGCCCACGACTGCTCTAGAGCTGAGATTTAGTGGTGACATTAACTTGGTTCTGTTGGATTTGGGGAAGGGGCTTGAGATCCATTAGGATGCCTATCATATCTTTCCTCTGTGGGCCCTGGAGCTGGGAATTTGGGGAATGGAGACTGCACCCCACCATTAAAGGGCCTTTCCAATCTCACTTAGGGGTCCCCTCGTACGGAAGGCCCCCCCCCACCATAAAGCTAAGTTTACTTATTCATTTGCTTTATTTGATTGACGGATTGATTCTGAAGTGGGGTTTGCAGAGGGGAGGAAGGGGAGGGGAAGGGGGATGAAGAGGAGGAGGAGGAGGGAAGGAGATGAAGGGGAAGTAGGAGGAATCTGGGATCCTTGGTGCTCTCTGAGCTTGGTTGTTTTCCTCCAGACATTTCATGACCCAACTAGGTAACATCATCAGTGCTAGAAAGGAGGAGGAGGTTGAAAAGAGGAGGAGGAAGAGGACTTGCTCCGTGTATCTTAAAATTTCCAAAGTTGAAGAAGACTGCTTTCGGTCTTTCGTTTTTCTTCCCCTTTCCTGTTTTCTTGATCTTGAGGGCTAGTATTATTATTATTTTTTTTCCCAGCAGTCCATTGTTCCAGCTTTCCTGAAAATGTTCTTTTTCTTTCAGACCAGGCCGACCCCTCCTCACCTGACCTCAGCCATGGCCGAGAACATCCTGGCAGCTGCTTGTGAAAGTGAGACGCGGAAAGCAGCCAAGCGGATGCGGCTCGAGATCTATCAGACGTCACAGGTACGGGACCAGGCATCAGGCTATTTGCTGGCGTTGAATATCCAGATAGGTTACCCCTTTACCGCTTGCAACAAGGCACTGGGTCCCATCCTTGATTATGTACACTGGTTTCGGAATCGGGTTATTTGCTGGCGTTTCAGTTATCTGGATATTTTACTCCTTTACCACTTGCATTAAGGCACTGGGTCCCATCCTGGATTCTCTACACTGGTTCCGGAATTGGGTTATTTGTTGGCATTGGGTATCCAGATAGGTTACCCCTTTACTGCCTGCAACAAGGCACTGGATCCCATCCTTGATTATGTACACTGGTTTCAGAATCGGGTTATTTGCTGGTGTTTCAGTATCTGGATATTTTACCCTTTTACCGCTTGCAACAAGGCACTGGGTCCCATCCTGGATTCTCTACACTGGTTCCGGCATCGGGCTATTTGCTGGCCTTGAGTATCCAGATAGATTATCCCTTTACGGCTTGCATTAAGGCACTGGGTCCCACCCTTGATTCTGTACACTGGTTTGTTTCAAACACTTACATGATCGGAGTTTATATTCATGCCACTTCGTTCCTACAACTGACCTCTATTATAATAATAGTCTTCAACTTACAACCGCTATTTTAGCGACCATTCTCCATGGCACTGAAAATAGTGACTTAAAATCGCAAAACATTCCCGGGGTCACACGATGAAAATTCAGGCACTTGGCAACTGGCATGTATCGGTAGTCCTTGACTTACCACACTTCGTTTGGTGACCATCGAAGTTTACAACGGCACTGGAAAAAGTGACTTATGACTGTTTTCACGCTTTACGACCGTTGCCACATCCCCATGGTCAGATTCCCTTTTGTGACCTTCTGACAAAGTCAATGGGGAAGTCAGATTCACTTAACAACCGTGTGACTAACTCAGGGGTCTGCAACCTTAAACACTCAAAGAGACATTTGGACCAGTTTCCCACAGAAAAGAAAACACCGGGAGCCACAAAACCCTTCTGGTGCCTGACTATTTCTTGAGCGGCCACAAAACTAGCGTATGTAGTTGAATTAAACGTTCTGTTTTCTTCTGAAACTTTTCTTTTCTTGGATTTATCCACGGTTGGCCTACCGGGGGTTGAAAAGCTCAATAAATCGCGTGCTGGCGGGTGTCGCACATTGGCGGTTGTGACACATATTTTGAATGACAGGGAGCTGCAGCAGAGGGGTGAAAGAGCCACATGCGGCTCCAGAGCCGCAGGTTGCTGATCCCTGGACTAACTGAACAACTGCAGCGATTCCCTTAACAACTGTGGCAAGGAAGGTCATAAAGTGGAGCAAAACTTACTTAACTGTCTCGCTTAGCAACAGAAACTTTGGGCTCAGCTCTTTAAGTTGAGGACTACCTGTATTGATGTTTTCAGCCTCCTGGGGTGGTGTGATCGCTATCTTACATATACTGTCAGACCTGTCCTAGCTAGCTCCCTAGGAAAGAAAGACCCTCGACTCCATTTGGTTGAAGTGATAGGTTGTTTTACTAAGGATTACTGGTCGCCCTAAAAGCAGGCTAGAACTAAAGATCCACGCAAAAGTTGACAAACGTTTCCCCTTCATCACAGCCCTCCCCCTCCTTAACAAGTTCATTGTAGACCAGTGGTGTGCCATATGCGTCTTTTGGGGGACACTCAGAGGTTTAGTGCAATTCACATTCCTTTCCCAAGTTTCATGGCCTTGAACTGGTTTCTCACACCTCTGGTATCCATCACCTCCTGCCATCCCCCCTCCCTGTTTCACCTCCCTACTCCCCCCCGGAGATACGGACGATTCCGGATCTACGTACTTTCCGTCGGGCCCTCAAAACTTTTTTTATTTCATCAAGCCGGGTTGGCCTAACTCTCCAATGGTGTAATTTTAATTTGAATTTTAAATGGGGGATTTTAACTGTCGGGCCAAACTGCTTAATATATTTTAAAATTGTTTTTAAATTTTGTATTCTGTGTTTTTTATCTATGGCTGTTCACCGCCCTGAGTCCTTCGGGAGAAGGGCGGTATATAAATTTAAATGTTAAATTAAATTAAAATTAAATATATGCTTGTTGCCTATTTCCTCTCCTCCAACCCCGCCCCCTCCACCAGTTGATGGCAGGATGCCAGCAAGGCGCCAAGCCAAAGATGGCAGCTCTGACGCACGCAGCACCCTTACGACTCCCTTTGCCCCTGACGCAACCTGCCCTCCGTTTCTCTCCTCGCAGGACGAACCAGTCACACTAGAGAAGCAGCAGTCCCGGGATTCGTCCACCTCCGTCACGCATTCCTCCTACTCACTGCCAGCCTCGTCCTTCTCCCAGGACCCCGTCTACATCAACGGGAGCCTGAACTACAGCTACCGCAGCTATGGGACGCTGGGGGGCACTTTGCAGCCGACTCCTTCACTCCAGACAGGAAATCACAGTAACGGTAAGGACGGGAGCTCAGTCAGAACAGAGCTGGAAGGAAACCTTGGAGGTCTTCCCCTCCTCAAGCAGGAGACCCTAGACAGTGTTGGCTAACCTTTTCAGCACCGAGTGCCGAAACAGGAGTGTGTGCGCATGCGGGGAGCGCCAAAACCCAGAAGAGCAGCTCCCCAGCGCGCACACGCGGGACTGCCGGAATCTGGAAGAGCAGTTCCACAGTGTGCATGTACGCACTGGGAAGATGAGCTTCCGGTTTCCGGCGCTCCCACATGCACGAAAACCAGCTGGCCAGAAGAGCAACGGGCGACGGCTAGCGTGCCCGGAGAGATGGCTCTGCGTGCCACTTCCGGCACGTGTGCCATAGGTTCGCCATCACGGCCCTAGACCCAAATGGCTGATTAGTCTCTTCTTAAAAATCTCCAGCGATGAAGCAATCACGACTTCTGGTGGCAAGCAGTTCCACTGGTTAACTGTTCTCACTGTTTCGAAGTTGCTCCTTAATTCCAGGTTGCTTTTCTCCTTGATGAGTTTCCATTCATTGTTTCTTTTACAGCATATATTATTGAAAATCCCCATCCCCCTTTTTAACATTTCAATTTTGTCTCTTAATTTAACTTGTCTTCATAATTAAACCCAATGACCATTTCATATTTCATCTGCTATTCTGTTTTACTATAAGCAATATACATCATCATATTGACTTCTTACATTAAAATCCTTTAACTTAATTGACTTTCCACAATTAATAATATTAATGCAATTCCTTCAAATAAATAAATAAATAAATAAATAATTTATTTCCCTTCCTCCTTTCCACTATTCTTCCCCTCTTTAACCATTTTCTCTTGATCTCTCCAAAATTCCACTTCTTAGTATTTTCCTCCTTTTATCCCGTTCTTTTAACTTCTTCTTTTTCTTTTTTTTTAATTTTTATATTTATTATGTCTTTTCTCCTGAATCCTTTTTCTCACTTTTAAATATATTACTCAAGTAATTCTCCCCAAGTTTTCTCCTAGTTTCTTTCTACTCTTTCCTTCTTTTCTCTTTGTTTGATTCTTTTTGGGGGAATATTCCCCCCTATCCACTCTTTTTTTGCCACTGAAATCATCTAATTGCTTTTTGCTTTCAATTCCTTTTCTTTCAGTATCTTTTTCCTGCTCTGTAAGTTCCAGCAAAATTTCTAACTTTGTATTACCCTTTAATGAGTCACACATATTTTTAAACATCTCAATTAATTCTTCACACATCCAAGACTCCATATTGTCAATTTCAAAAATTATTAACACTTTTACTTTATATTTAATTAAAATTCTAAAGTCCATATAGTCTTTTTTTAATTCCACATGGTATCCAATTCAAATATTTATCCAATCCACTCCAAATTATAGCTTTGTTATTTTCCACAATTGTTGACAGTGGAAACCAAGCAGTTCAGAAAAACAGATACTCCTTAAAAGTTCTCACAGTTTCCAGATTAAATCACAGTCACAGCTGTTGTTTTTTCCTCTGTCTTCCCACCAATATTGCAGAACTTACTTTCCACCAGCAGAAGTCTCTCTCAAATCCACAATATTCTCAGAGCAACTAAGTATCCAAGCTGTCAAAAATATTTTAAATCCACATAAAGAGTTCTTTTCCTCGGATTTGTTGTTTTTAGTTTCTCCAAATTCAATTTTAAAATCCAGAGAAACAGTTTTCTTTCTTGGGCTATTAGTATTTTAACTTCCTCTTTGTTCTTTTCCTTCAGATGTCAAAACTATCAAAAATATTTTAATCTACCTAAAAAGAACCTTCCCTCGGGTTTCTTTTTCTTTTGTTATTTTTAATTTCTCCAAATCCAATTTTAAATCCAGTTGTAAAATTTTCTTTCTTGGGCTTTAGTATTTTAACCTCCTGTTTGTTCTTCTCCCTTCATTAACTTTCCCAAGTGCCAATTAGCCTCTCATTTCCGCTCCGGGACACCTTTTAAAGTTATTAAATTTTTTCTTTTTTACCTGTGAGTTGGCCAATCACTCACCAGGTACCAACACTCCTTTCAGACACCGCTCCTGCACAAACAACTTAGTCCAGTTTCCCCAGCTTCAGAGCGGTCATTTTTCAATGGCCACTGCCCCCGCCGCCGGTTTGAAGAGCAGCCTCCGACATTTTGAGGAACTTGCCTGTTCCTCTTGATCATCCAAGGCACCTCTTCTTCTTCACCATCCCCACAGGACGGATCTGGTCCGAAGACCCCCCCAACAGCAGTTTGTCCGGCTGGATTTTCGCGGGACTCATCGGAGCTCGCTATTTCTCCAGCCAATCTCGCTGCGACGCTTCCGGTTTCTCCCCCATTCATTGTTTCTTGTCCTGCCCCCTGGTGCTTTGGAGAATAAGTTGACCCACCTCCTCTTTGTGGCAACCCCTCAAATACTGGACTACTGCTATCCTGTCACCCCTAGTCCTTCTTTTCTCTAGACTGGCCATACTCAGTCCCCACAATCGTTCTTCATATGTTTTAGTCTCCAGGCCTTTAATCATCTTAGTTGCTCTTCTTCAGCCAAATCTTTCAGGATTGTTGGGTGCAACTGATCTGGTGTGCCAATCTTAGAATTTATACTAAGAAAAAGGGTTCTCCCTATTTGCATCCTTGCCTGCTTCTGCCAAGTTTCTAGTTCTTCCTCTTTCTAACATGGTTGCTCACCTCTTCGGTGGGTCGCAATAGCAGTAGCCCTTAGACTTATATACCGCTTCGCAGTGCATTACAGTCCTGTCTAAGTGGTTTACAGAGTCAGCCTCCGGCCCCCAACAATATGGCTCCTCAGATGGATGGAAGGCTGAGTCAACCTTGAGCTAGTCGGGATTGAACTCCAAGCTGTGGGCAGTTTGTCTGCAATACTGCATTCTAACCACTGTCCACCACCAAGGACTCAAAAAAGGAAAAAGAAGGAAGAGAGAGGGAATAAGGAAGGGAAAAGGAAGGAAAGGAGGGAGGGAGGGAAGGAAGAAGGGAGGGAGGGAAGAAGGGAGGGAAGGAAGGAAAATACAGCAATACCATGCTTTTCTTTATCTCTCTCCTCCTCCTCCTCCTCCTCCTCCTCCTCCTCCTCTTCCTCCTCCTCCTTCTCCTCCTCTGCTTTGCAGGCCCCACTGACCTCAGCATGAAAAGCGGCACATCCAGCACCACCCCCCCAGCCAACAGCACGAACCGGGGGGTGCCAGCCGCCCAGCTCAGCCCAACCGAGATCAGCGCCGTCCGGCAGCTGATTGCCGGCTACCGGGAGTCCGCAGCCTTTCTCCTCCGCTCGGCAGACGAACTGGAAAACCTCATTTTACAGCAGAACTGACTGCTGGCCTCCCTGGGGCTCCTGTGCCGGAAGAGACTGACGTCCACCAGGCTTTCTTGATAAATCTGCTCAGGACTGGCCGATCCTCTGCCTATCAACGCCCGCCCACCCATCCACCCACCCACCCCGGCACAGGTTGGAGACCCCTCCACCCCACCCCACCCCCGGGAGCCCTTCTGCCTTTGAAAGCCGACCAAGCCGGTGCTCTCTGCCAACCGGAGCCAGCCTCGCAGCCTGGAGAGATGGGGACCACGGTGGGTTTGGGGGAGCAGAGGGTGGGTCGGCCTGGCAGAGCGCTTCTGGCAGAGTCAGGGTTTTCTCGCGGAGCCCGGCAACGGTAGAGCCCTCTTCCCCCGCTCTCTTTCTATTCCCCCGTCCCTTCCTTCCGTCTTAGGAATTGCATATTTATTGAGAAATGCACCCGTCCCTCCAGCCCCTCGTTTTTTCTCCTCCCCCCCACCCATAATTTATTTTTTTTCTAAAAAAAAAAAAGAAAAAAAGCATTCTTGAGTTTGTACAGAATTGCCATTATTTTTTGTGTGTGTCTCTCTCCGTGAGGGAAAGGGGGTTTGATTCCTGTACCATCGTCACCGGCCGTCCCGCCGGAGGGACCAGCCAGGCTCGGAAGCCAGTGGGAAAAGCGGTCTCTGCTTTCAGATTTTTTGTTGTTTCCCCGCCCCCCTCCTTTGGGCCACTCGATCCCCACTTTTGCCTGGTTGGTGGGGGCCACGCCGGGGCCCGAAGCCTGTCTTGTCGGAATTGCAGGACTCATTTTAGGGCCAAAGCTCCATTGCAGCAGCCTTCTTCCTCCTCCTCCACACTCTACCTCACTCCTGGGTGCTCCCTGCTGGCCCCGGCTCTCTTTCAAGGGGCCCCAAAGGGGCCCCTGGCTGCAAGCCTTGCGAGAGACCGGCAAAGCACCCCAAAAACGGAAAGCGTGTGGACAGGGGCAATCGGGGGCCCCATTTGAGTCATGCTGGCAAGGTTTGCAAAAGCAGAGGCCTCGGAGCCTGATTTTTTGGGAGGTGTGTGAGTGCAACGGGTTTGAGCCCCCCTTTTTTTTCTCCTCCTCCTCCTCCTCCTCCAACCTCCCCCCTTGCAAATGCAAATGCACTTGCTGTTTTGCTCAGTGCAATATTGACCGTGCTGCTATATATAACACGAAGGGACGGAGGAGCAAAAAAAATAAAAAATAAAAAAGGCAGCAACCAACCAGAATTCGTTCGGGGAAGAGACCCCCACTCCCTCCCCTCCCCACCGTGTCCCCAAAGGAAGGGCCACCACTGCGAGGTTGGGCCGAGGGCACTAACCTTGGATACTTGGCTTAACGGGAAGCTAGAGAGCATCTTTTCAACGTAGGTTTCTCGTAAGCCAGGGGCATCCAAGTTTGGCCATGTTAAGCCTGGCGGACTTGGATTCCCAGAATTCCCCAGCCGGCCCTACCGGCTGGGGAATTCTGGGAGTCGAAGTTCGCCAGGCTTAACATGGCCGAGCTTGGACACTCCTATTCTAAGCCCATCTACCTTCTTCCCTCTGGTGCTCCAGAGCCAGGCTGGGATTTGAACCTGGGACCACCTGCTCCTGGAGGCTTTGGAGACAGAGGAGTAGGGGCCAGCCTCTCTCGCCCTCCTCCCAGCTGTCCCTAAACCGAAAGGGGGGTGTCTACCAGGGGGAGGACAAGGATCCATGTCTTTGCTAGCAATCCTATCCGTTCCCCCTTGATGCGACCCTCCTCCAGCCCCCCCTCCCCATCCCGAAGGTCCCACCCGACTTTGTGTAAATAGTTACTCGTGCCAGGTCTGACCACCCTCGTGCAAACCCCTTAGGGTGTGTAACAGCGGCAGAGACAATCGCCGTCCGGAAACACGTGAAGGTTCCCTTCCCCGTCTGCAACTCGGGGGGGGGGGGGCACATCGGGATTTGGGGGGGGGGGGTGGGCGGTGCAATTTTTTTTGAGGGGGGAGGACGGCCGATGACCCAGACCGGACGCAGGCGTGATTCAGGGTTAATTAACCCTTAGCGCCAGCCGGTGGTTGCCCCCGTCTTCCCCTCCTGTTTTACACGCTCCAAAGGGGCTTCCCGAGAGCATCAAGAGGTGGCACTTGCCCCGCCTGGAGTTTGACTTTTAGCCATCCGTCTCTGGATCCGAAAATGTCGATCTTACAAGCCATGTTTTTTCTAAGATTCTCGGGACAGCTGGGCAGGGGTCTGTCCTGGATTCTGACCCCATCAGGAGGCCCTTTTCCAGGGTGTATTTGTGGGTGGGGCTCGGCCGCTGCCCTCTTGGCACTTGGCATGGTGGGGGGGCTTCGCAAGGCGAGCCCCCCCCTTCCCGCTCTCCAACAGCAGCATTTGGACCCCAGGGAAAGGCATTGGCGGGACCCCGGCAGAAAAGAGCCCCCCACCCACCCACCCTGCCCCATCTTTTAGAGGCCCAATTTTTTTTTTTTTTGTCTTTAGCTGGCCGTCCCCTCGATTATTAACCGGTCCCTTTCCCAGAAAAAAAAAATGCTGCTTTGAACTCAGAGGGTTGAAAAAAGAAAAAAAATACAAGTTTGCTTTGTATTTTGTTTTTTGTAAGACTTTTTACAAAGGTAGTCTTAGCGATTTCCACCAAGGGAAAAAAAAAAAAATAACCGATTTAAACAATCTGTCCATGGTCTGAATGATTTTTTATACCATTTTCGTGGTGCTTTTAGAAAAGGAAAAAAAAAAAAAGGTTTTTTTTCTCTCTCTCTTCTCTTCTCTCTCGGTGGTCGTTTCCGAGCGGAGCTGCTCCGTTCTTTCCTCTTCACCTGTATTGTACCTAAGACCAATGTGAATTCTTTGTACTTTTTTCCTCTGACTTTGGACTCAGTGAAAGTGTACTGTTTACATGTACAGAAAACTCCCAGCTGCCCCTCTGTGTTCGGCGAGACCCTCGTCTGTTGGCGAGGATGACCCACCTCATCCCTGCCTCATCTGCTTAGCGCGGCCACAGATCCGCTCACCTGTTTTCCCCGATGCCCATGGGGCTGGGCTGCTAGGAAGGGCTTTTTAGCGGCCGGCCACGTTTGTCCCCGGAATGGCTAAATCCCAGGGAGGTCCAATCTTGGCAACTTTGAACCCTTGCGGACTTCAGCTCCCAGAATTTCCCAGCCAACCATGCCTGGTATTTTTTTTCCTTCTCCGTTTGCAGAGGAAAGGACCGTAAGAGAGTAAGCAGACGAAAATGAGTCTTACCCGTGAAAAGGAATGCATCAATGCCAGGGAATTCAGGGAGTTGAAAGTACACAAGTCTTAAAAGTTGTTGAGGCTGGACACTCCTAGTTAAAGCAAAAAGGCCAGGTAACAATATTCTTTTTCACGAGTGGCTCGGAGAACCTGGCACTCGTAAACCCACACGGATGGTCTGCGGGCTGCTGGTGAGCACCAGGTTGCTCGCCGAGGCATTCCCCCGCTAGCCCGAAACTGCAGGAGGGTCCCAGGGACTTCATAAGTGGCCGGCGAGCCCCCCGCACCAACCGCCAGGAAGAGGGTGGCCAAAGCAGTAGCCCTCCGGTGCAGTTACAAAGCTGACCCAAGCCCACCCATTTCCCCCTTCCCCAGAAATGGAGGGAGGAGGAAACCCAAGGCACTTAAAAGCAGCGGGCGAAAGCGACCCTCCCCTGCGCCAATCCGTCAGAAACCTTTGTTCGTTCTTCCTCCCTTCCTCTCTTAACGGACAACCTATGCAAATTTTCACGTGGCTCTCTCTAAGCAGATGAGAATTGTTGTTGTTGTTGTGTTTTATTTTTTCCCTTCCTCAAACGTGCGATGGAAATCTTAATTATTATTATTTTTTTTGTTCCTTCCCTTTTTTTGTGTTCTAGACAGTGGACCCTTTTAATTTTTTAAATTTTTTTTCCCCCCCACCCTTCTTCCCAGTAAACGTGGCTTTAATATTTTAATTCTTAGCTCGCAGTGTTTTTGGTTTTACGTGACGCGACTTTAATTCTGTTCTGTTCGTGAAATGAGTAGCACAGGCCAATCTCCTCGTCCTATTCACTTAAAAAGAAAAAAAGACCAACGAGCTGTTTAAATCAAAGCAGTTCCTTTCCATTCATGGTATTACTTGCTAAATGCACTGATTTCATAAGTATGTGGATTTTTTTTTTTTTTTGGAGTCTGTATATCATATAAGACTGAATCTCTACTTAATAAACACTGTATAACAAAACGGAACGCATCTCACCCCTTTTCCCAACATGGGGGCAAGAGGCGGCTTCTCTTTGACCAGGGCCACGGGTCAAAATTGGAAACTCTGAATCGATAGGAAGGGAATACAGGTAGTCCTCGACTTACGAAAGTTCACTTAGTGACCGTTCGAAGCCCTGGAAAAAAAGTGACTTAGGACCGTTTGTCACAGTTAACGACCGTTGTAGCCTTCCCCGTGGTCACGTGGTTTTTACATTTGTATGCTTGTCAACTGACCTCGTATTTACGACAGTCGCAATATCCTGAGGTTAACTTTTGTGACCTCCCGACAAGCAAAAAAAAAAAGTCAATGGGGAAAACCAGATTCATTTAACGACTGGTACTAATTTAACAACGGCAAGTGATTCACTTAACAAATGTGGCAAGGCAGGTCGTAAAATGGGGCAAACCCGGACCAATTTCTCACTTAGTAACATAAACGTTGGGCTCGTTTGTGGTCGTAAGTTGAGGACTACCTGTATTGGTAGCTCAGGGTTGGACCTGGGGGCTGGGGGGGGGAGGTCCCTGGTGCTTCCTGAAGCTTGGTTGTTATCTTGTAGACATTTTCGTGACCCAGCTAGATAACATCATCAGTGCTAAAAGGGAATGGGATTTGCTGTTTATATATGCTTTATATAAGTATTGCCTTAAGTTATATTATATACCAGCGAGTGTTACATACTAATTGCTTGGTGGAAACACACCCAAAAAAAAAGAACATTTCCACCAACATTGACAGGGCAAGCCACCTCTATGTAAACCCAGAAAAACAAACCCGTCTTCTAGCCTCAACAATGTTACCTATCATGTTTCCCCGAAAATAAGACTGAGTCTTAATTTTTGCTCCAAAAGACGCATTAGGGCTTATTTTTGGGGAAATAGGTACTAAATGCACCCATCTGGCTGACAATCTGGGGCTTATTTTGGGAGTAGGGCTTACGAGCATCCTGAAAAATCATACTAGGGCTTATTTACCGGTTGGGTCTTATTTTCGGGGAAACAGGGTAGTTGGGTCATGAAGCTTCCTCCTCCCTCCCTCCCCATCTTTTGTGCAAACCCCTCTCTCTTCTAGCCCTGATAATGTTGCCTAGTTGGGTCATGAAATGTCTGCAACAAAACAAGCAAGCTTGGAGAGCTCCAAGGAGCCCCATAGTCCCCGTCTTCCTCGCCACAAACCTTGATTCAAACCACCATCATGTTACCTAGCTGGGTAATGAACGAACTAGTCTGCCAGAAAGCATCGGGGAGCCCATAATCTGTGGTTTAATCCTGGCTACAGCCACCTCACGCCATTCTCCCCTATCGACTTCGGCGTCTCATCTCTTCTAGTCACCTTAAGCTGAAAACGGCAACGGGTGCATTGATTTTCACTTGTGATTCTGCTCATGCTGAGGTGCAATCATATTTATTCTGAATAATTCACACATTTCCCCCCACACACACACCATCGTTCAGGGTTACTTATGGGCCGAAAAATGACCGCAGGCGATCCCCAACGAGACAGCTGTCACCCAGGGCACCTCATGGCCTCAGTCCTGCAAAGCTAGAGAATAGTTTTCATGTCAAAAAAGCCAGCTCTGGGCTACAGGTAGTCCTTGACTTAAAACAGTTCACTTAGTGACCATTTGAAGTTTATAATCATCTTTTAATGACCCCATAATCCCTTGTGGGGTAGAGTCTGGGCAACTGAATGGAGCTGAGTGTTTACTGGCCGGATGCCCTTCCTGTCGCCGATACGGAGTTTTGCTCAGCAGATTATATTCTCAATGTGCCCAGAAAGAGAAGTATCTGGCTCTACCTGGGATCGAACTCACAGTCTCCCGATTGTGAGGCGAGAGCTCCACCTCTAGGCCACCGCACCACACACCATTTGAAGTTATGCCAATGAAAAAGGGAACGCATGACCGTTTTTCACGCTTACGACTGCTATAGCATCTTCATGGCCATGGGATCAAAATCTGGAGCCAGGGCAACCGGCTCACATTTATGACGGTGGCAGTGTCCCGGGGCCATGTGATCGATCCCCCTTTGTGACCTGGCAAGCGGAGTCAACGGGGAAGCCGTGTCCCGGGGCCATGTGATCGATCCCCCTTTGTGACCTGGCAAGCGGAGTCAACGGGGAAGCCGGATTCGCTTAACGACCGTGCTAACTCACTCTAACAATCACAGCAATCCACTTAACAACAGTGGCACAGGAAGGTCACAAAATGGGGCGCTTAAAGCAATCGTTTTGCTTAGCAAAGGAAATTTTTGGCTCTGTTGCCATCGTTAAGTGGAGCACTCCCTGTTATCTTCTCGCCCAAGGCCTGGAGCGCAATTAAGGGGCAAATAAGAGCCTTTATCCTTAACTGTAGAATGGGGACTCTCTGCACGCCCAGGGGCTAAAGGGAGAGAGAGCGGCGAACTCCGGCAAGCTGGTCAGCTTGACGCAAACTGAAGCCGAGTGTAGGGCAAAGAAAAGCACACCCACAATCGGAGGACATGAAATGGGGGTATTATTTCACCTGTCCAAGGGGGGGGGGGGGTTGTGGGGGACGGGACTATAAGGGTGTGTACGTCCACTGTTTGGTTGCGGTGTTTGTTCCCCCATCCACCACACACACACACACACAAAGCCTTGCAAAACTTAGGCTTGAGCTGTTCCAAATGTTTTTTATTTTATTTTTATTTTTATTCTCCATACCACAAGGGACATATAACATCAGGGTGGACCAGGATCTGCCCCTCCCCCATCAGCCCAGGCTCCATCTGTACACAGCCCCGACCTTCTTGGGAGGATGGAAGGGGGGGGGGGAGGGCAGGGGCGGGGAGTAGGGGGTCAGAAGAGGGGGCAGGCTTTTGGGGGAAGCCCCTTCTTTGGTAAGCAGGTTCAGACCATCTGTGGATTCACCTTCTGAAGAGCACCGCTCTCTCTCTCTCTCTCTCACACACACACAAACCCTTAACTCGCCTTCCCTGCTCCGACTGGTTTCGGGAGTGAACTCGCATGACTGCACACCCCACCCCTTTTGGGGGGACGGACGGACGACCCAGATTTTTACACTGCTTCTATCGCTGTTGAGCAGGAAGTCTATGGTGAAAGCCAAGAAGTCAAGAAAGGAAGAGGTAGGTAGGTAGGTCAAGGGCGGGAGATGACGGGGGGCCGAGAATGGGTCATGCCTCTGGGAGATGGACTCCCTTCTCGGGGGTGGGATGGGGGGTGTTTCAACAGGAAGGGCTGGCCCAGGCCAGCTGTTGGGCTCCCCGCTTCCCCTCTGCTCGGCCAGGCAGGACAGAGCAACAGCCACTGCCGTCCGGTGGAGAGAGGTTCGTAACTGACACTACTCTACAATGCAATACTGTGGGTAGCCTGGAAAAGAGGGGGGGGGGGGGGGGAAAAAAAAAAAAGGCCAACCCCCCCCCGAAAAGGATTTAAAAACAAAAAAAAGATTTTTATGTACAGAACACCCATTTTTCAAAAGTCTGGCCAAGTACTGTGTACAACGGATGAAGAAGAAGACATGATGCATAGAAAGTACAGAGAGGAGCCAAACATTTCCACTTTTTGTTTTCTTTACACCCAAGAACAGAAAAAAAAAATTATATTATAGATTTATATTTATATACGTATGGGTTTAAAAAAAAAAAAAAACGAACCAAAAAAAAAAAAAACAACCCCAAGAAAAGATGACACTGCTTCGAAAGTGAAAAGTCTTCCAAGATACAGGGAAGGAGAGGCGCGTCGGCCTCCTCGTCTCCGTCTGCGTCGCAGCTCCGAAGCCCACCGCCCTGTGTCTCCGGGTTGACCCGAGTCCAGCGCTTGGGGTGGGAGGTGGCAGGGAGAGAAAATGGAAGACAGGTTCAGCTGGCCTTCTTTCCACTTGGCCTTCCAACAGGAGGGTGGGGGGAGAGATCAGCTCTTCCCCCCATACCCGGCCCACCGGAATGGGGCTCACGGCACAAGAACGGTCCAACGGGCCAAAATCTCCCAACAGTTCCTCAACGGGAGAGAAATCGGCCCTCCGAAACCAGCCTGTCTCCATGACTGACTTGCCACCCCCAGCAGGAAAACCCAAGACATACAGCGTCCATATTGGCTTCGTTAGGACCGGAATCTTTTGCATATACGGTTGTTCCTGGTCATCGGCGTCCTTCTCCTCTTCTCCTCCTCCTCCTCCTCTGAACCTGCTCAATGTACAGCTTTATCCTTTCCGGGGCTGCGAGTGTCATCTGACCACAAGGCACAGCACGCAAAGCTTGGAGGGCCCGATACAGTCGTCGTGGCAAAAAGCCCCGCAGCCTTGGCACATGATCATGGCTTTAAGGCTGCAGGAGCACTTGAGGGAGAGCTCTTCCATGCCTTTGCCCGTCTCGGCAAACACCTGGGCGGAAAAAGACAGCCCGCCTCCCCGGGAAGAAGCCGTCAAGTGGGCTTTGGGGCCGAAGGGCCCGGCGTTGCCTTCCAGGTTTCTGGGGAAAAAGGGGCTGCCGGCCGAAGAGGCGTAATTCAGATGGGAGGAATTCAGCTGCAGCTTGGAAAGCTTCCCGTAAATCGCCTGCTTGATGTTGAGCTGAGAAGGGAGGGAGGAAGGCTCCAGGGGCTGCGCGGCCCCCTTCCCCGGCTCCTTCGGCAGCTTGAAAAAAGCCAGGTCTCTCACCAGGGGGAAGCTCTGCCAAGGCTCCATCAAGTGGGGCGGGCCCTCTTTCTGCTGCTCCCTCTTTCTCTGGGCCGAGGACAGGACCTTCTTGTTCTCCACTGACCCGCCATTCCTCTTGGAGGACCAGTCTTCCCTTGCGGGAGGCAAGCGAGCTCCGGGGGAAACAGCCTTGGGCAGGGGAGAGACCAGTTTGCTGTGGGACAGCATGCCCCACATGGGGAAGGGATCCGAGCCTTGGGGCTTCTGGGCCTTAGCTGCTGTCCCACCCAAGACACCCGAGCCAAAGACCTTCTTGCCCAGAGCCACGGGGGTCTTCTCTGCAGGGCCGCTGCTTAGCTGCTCCGGCTCCAGAGAGGTCATGCGGAGGGGGGCCTTGGGCCCCAGGGCTGTCTTCAGCTTCTCTTCCAGGTTCCCGATGCCAGGAGTAGAATTTGCCCTGGGAGGATCCGTTTTATCTGGACGAGGACAGGAGGGAGAGATTTGATTCTTTCCCGGATTCGAGAGATCTGTTTTCGGGGACTGGCGGATGGCTTGATCCAGAGATCCTGAAGTGGGACTCTTCTCTGGAGGCAGGGAGACAATCTCTGGCAGGCAGGCCCTTTCGGCTGAGTCCCGCAAAGGTTGGGGCGCCCGCGTGGCCTTCCTGGCTGAGTCACTCAGGCCTGTCCTCTCCCTGGAAGAGGCATCCTGCACGAGGTGATCACTGCTCTTAACCGCCTTGGGAAAAGGGCGGATTTCTGCCGGCAGCTTGTCCTGAGAAAAGGCTGCAGCCGCCTCGGAAGAGACCGGTAGAATGCTTTTGGGAGGCAGGCCCTGGGTGATTACATGTCCCTCGAGGGGCTTGCTTGCTGCAGTGGACAGAGGCTGGGGGACGCCCGAGCGTGGCCTTTCCTGGATTGGGACATCAACACGGAGAACCGATTTGCCCGTGGTGAGAATAGGAGTGGGCAACTTTGTCCTGCAGTGTGAGTTGACAACCCCGACATCCGAAGGCAAATCTTCCCTGTTTTCTAAGATGACCTCTCTGCGTTCCTCCGGACGTCTCTGGTCGGGCCCTTCTTCCCTCTCTTCTGCCTGGCAGCAATCCCTGTTGATCTCCAAGTTCTCATCGGTGAGCTCAGCGTCCAAATCGGAAGCTGTCTCTGTGGTCTCACTGAGTGGACTCTGGGCTTCCTCGTCGCTGCCGGGGCTGGCGCTCGGCCTTGCCACTGCCCGCTCTCGGTCGGTCTCTACCTCCATGCCCGAGGATGCCATTGCTGGGGACAAGTGGCTCTCGTGGGCAGTCGTATCGAAGCAAGGAGGGAGCAGGCCTGTTGTCGACTGGGAAGCTTCCTCTGGGCTACTCAGGGCCCCTCTTCCGGGGCCTGGAGTGGCCCTCTGAGTCTGGGGTGGCGGGAGCTCCATCCCAACAGGACTGGGGTCCTCTGGAACGGCCTCCCATGCAGGAGAGCCCAAAGCCTCTGAGCCAACTCTTGTGCTGTTCTCAGAAGCCAGGTCACCTTCACGGCCCTCCTTCCTGCTCGTGCCTCCAAAGGGGATGTTTTCAGAGTCTCCTAGCCAGCCATTGTTCTGTTGGCTTCCCACGGGAGATTCCCTTCTCTCCTTCCGATTACGGCCCTCCACAGGAGCATCTTCTGGAGAAGGTGGAGGCCTGGGATCATCCAGAAGTTGGTCAGGACGACCGGATGGCACTTCCGTTGCTCTGCAATCCGGGATGCTGCTTTCCGACGACTCCTCCAGCTGGGCAGCAGCTTCCTGGGAAGGAAGACTCGCAGCCTGTCTACCCCGCTCGAGCTCTCCTTCCCCGGCGGGCTCTCTGGCTCCAGAAGGCAAGCTCGCTTCAGGCCCCTGCCAGCTGGCGGTCTTCCCGCCTAGGTGGGAAGGCGGCAATAGCTGTGCTCGCTGTAAATCTGACCAGCGCTTCCCGCGAGTTCTCTTGCATCGCCAGTGCTTGGCGCGATGGCTCCTGGGTGGCCGGACCCGGCTGTTGCTGCTGTTGTTGCTGCTGCGACCACCACCACCGCCTTCGTCTGGGCTCCTTCCGCCGCCTCCTCCTGGCCCACCCCCACCTCCAATGGTGGAGGCAGGAGCAACAGCCGCTCGCTGGACTCGGCCTTGCAAAGGACAGGCCTCAGAGTCAGCAGAGGCTGGGCTCCCCCTTCGGTCCGGCCTGACGGGTTCTGGATTGGGGATAATCCGAGGACATATCTGGTAGGCTGGCTGACCTTTAACCACCCAGGGGGGTTTGATTCGGGAAAGTTGAATCTGGAGGGAACAAAGAAAAACAAGGGCGTTAAGAGGACGTCCTTCAGGCCTGCAAGTTAAAAGCCCCCCCCCCCATTTTTTAGAATTATATAATTGTTTATAAATATTTAATTTTTAGAAGGAACCCTCCCTGGTACTCTTGAGTACTAGGCAGAAGCATACTGTTCGAGGGTCCCTTCTCAAGGAACGCTGTGGACTGTAGATTGGGAAAGGCCTCCCTTTACAGAACTACAACTCCCAGAGTCCCCTGGGGAAAAGGCCTGGAAACGGGGGTCTTCCTTCCTAGGTTTAGCGCTAAAGGGCAAAGCCACACCGAGACTACCCTCAGCTACCTTATGGTTGATGCAACAGTATCAATGGGGGCTTTTCTATTCCCAGGAGAAAAGATGGAGAATTAACCCAGTTTATTTAATCTGTATCCCGCCGTTATTATTTTTATAAAGTGGGGAATATACCCAAGATGCCTTCCTGCTATTTTCCCTACAAGAATGCTGAGATAGATGGCTTGGGCTGAGGGAGAATGATTGGCCCAAATTCAACCAGCTGGATTTTGTGCTTAAAGTGGGACTAGAATTCCCCGTCCCCTGGTGATTGGCTCAAAGTCACCCAGCTGGCTCTAAGGCAAGACTAGAATTCCCCGTCTCTTGGTGATCGGCCCAAAGTCACCCTTCTGTATCTAACACAGGACTAGAACTCACCAGTCTCCTGGTTCCCTGCGTGTTGCTTTCACCACTAGATCAAACTGGATTTCCCCCCCTGGCATTCCTGCTAAAGATCCTTTCATTCCTCCCCCTTCTAGACCCCACCTGAGATCGTTCACGCAAGAGAAGCCAGACAGCCCCCCCCCCCCAAGAGAGCCCACCCACTCTTCCTCCCCTTCCTCCTAATCCAGAGGGAAACCCACACCGGGGCCCCGAGCCGAAAGCATGTTTGGGAAGCAGCAGCAGCAAGTCAGCCCGTGACTGCTTGAGCCCGAGGCCTCGGGAGAAGCCAGGGAAGCCGAGAACTGCCTCCACCCACCCACCCACCAACCCACCCACCGAGGCAGGGAGCAGCTCCCCGACCCTCTCCTACCCGGATGGGAGGGACTTTAGGCTCCTCTTTGGTGGGCTGTGGCTTTTCTGGGTGAACACTTTCAATTGTGTTACGAAAGGACTGACGGTCGTCAAGCCGGGGCTTCTTTTCGGGGAAAGAGGTAGAGGCGGGTTGCTCAAAGCATTTCCTCTTCTGCTGATCCTGCGGTCCGAGAGGCAGGCTGGGAATTCTGTCCGGGGCTGCTGCTGCCGCCGCCGCGGCCGCCACAGCCTCATCCACCTTGCTCAAGATCTTGGTCACCTCCGGGGACATCTCGGCCGAGGGAGTTGCCCGGCTGGCTTGGCACTCGTTCGTGGCGGGATTGGCCTCTCTCTCCTCGGCAGGCGTGGCCTCCGCAGACGAGGAGGAGGAGGATGCCTCTTTGGCAGGGGAGGAAGGCTCCGCTTCACGCAATTTATGCCGGTTCCGACGGTTCCGGCAGCGGAGGGAGCGCCTCTTGAAGTGCCCGTCGGGCTGGTGGGTTGTGGGAGTGCAGGGTGCCCTGGTGGGGCCTTCTGGGGAGGCGGCCGTGGTCCTCTTCTCTGCTTCACTGGGGGCCGAGTTCTGCTCTTCTGTGGTCAAGCCCAGCCTGCAAGGGGGGGCAGAATGGAGTCAGTTGGCAGCTTATCCCATTAGCCCAGGGGTCCCTCCGCACTTGGAAACTTTAAGTCCTGAGGATTTCAACCCCCACCATTTCCCACCAGCGGCCTGCCCACCATATTCCGTAAGGATTTACGACAGACATGCTGTTGGGGTCCTTCATTCACTCGCTACTAAGGGAGGCCGTCCACTTGACTGCTTTAGCCAAGGGTGTCCAACCATGGTAGCTTTAAGACTTGCAGACTTCAGCTCCCAGAATTGAAGCAATGCTGGCTGGGGAATTCTGGGAGTTGAAGTCCACCCATCTTAAAGTGGCCAGGTTTGAGAAACAGTGCATTAAATCGAATTTATGTTTTACTGACGAAGAAATAAAGGGTAGACTAGTACAGATCTATTTCAAGCTATTTAGCTCTCATCAGCTAGCCATGCCCTTCTGGGATTCGAACCCGGGCTACTTGGGAGCGGAGCGGAATGTTCCGTCCCATAATTGGGTAGACCAGGTTGTCCTGATAAAAAAACAGTGCATTAAATCATTAAAAACAATACCTGAGTCCGTTTTTGAAAATAACAGCAGTGTGTATGGCTGCACTGGAATTATTTCTGCCAAAAAAATACATGACTGCCCTTTGCATGGTAGCTTTTAAGACTTGTGGAACTTCAACTCCCAGAATTCCCCAGACAATGATGCTGGGAGTTGAAGTCCACAAGTCTTAAAGGGGCCAAGTTTGGAGACCCCTGCGCTAAACAGAAGAACCCTGGCCAGGGACCCCCCCGTTAAGTTTTCCTGGGAGAAATGTTGCAGAGGTTCAGTGGGCCTTCCTTTTTAGGAGTTCTCACCGAGCACCTCCCCTCCTCATGACAGGCAGGGAAGGTGTCAAGGACCCCTTTGTGGGTCTAGGGAAGGAGAAACCTGTGGGGCCTTTGCCCTGGCAACAGTTATGGGAAAACAGAACCTGTTGCCACGAAGACTGTTGATTATTTATTCAATTTATACGCTGCCCACCAATATTTCCAAAACCGGACACTTACTTCTGCCCGTAGTAATCCTCGAAAAACCGCTCTTTCCAGAGTTCTGTTTTCTTTTCCTTCTCCATTTCTTGCCTGATGCGGACCTGCATCTCGTGAGTAAACTCCCCTGGAAGAGGAAGAAAAAAAAAAATCAGAGTTTATTTGGCTTCATAGAAACACTAGAAAAGAAACACACGGAAACCCAGAGAAGAGCAACTAGGATGAGTAAAGGCCTGGAGGATAAGACATATGAAGAACGATGTCAGGAATTGGGTTTGGCCGGTCTAGAGAAAAGGACTAAGGGGGACATGATAGCAGTATTTCAGTATTTGAGGGGCTGCCACAAAGAGGAGGGGGTCCATTTATTCTTCCAAAGCACCAGAGGGCAAGACAAGAAACAATAGAAACTAATCAGGGAGAGAAGCAACCTGGAATTCAGGAGAAACTTCCTAACGGTGAGGACAATTAACCAGTGGAACTGCTTGCCACCAGAAGTTGTGAATGCTCCATCACTGGAGGTTTTTAAGAAGAGACTGGACATCCACTTGTCTGAAATGGGATAGGGTCTCCTGCTGGACTAGAAGACCTCCAAGGTCCCTCCAGCTCTATTGATTGACTGATTGATTGATTGATTGAAAACTGACAGCGGAAAAAGACCCTGTGGTCCATCCTATCTGCCCTTTGAGGGGTTTTTTTGTTTTGTTTCTGTTTTCTGTTTATTTTTTATTTGCTTATTTGTCTCCCAGATGACAGATATATCCCAACCGTGTTTAAACTCAGTTAGTGATTCAATTATTCCGCTGGAAGTTGGTTCCAAGCTTGCGCTTCTTTTTCTGGGAAGTCACTTTCAAACATTACAGGTAGTCCTCGACTTACAACAGTTCATTTAGTGACCGTTCGAAGTTGCAACGGCACTGAAAAAAAAGGGACATGGCCGTTTTTCACACTTACAACTTTTGCAGCATCCCCAGGGTTGTGTGATCAAAATTCAGACGCTTGGCAACTGACTCGCATTTATGAAGGTTGCAGTGTCCTGGGGTCATGATTCCCCCTTGGTGACCTCCTGACAAGCCAAGTCAACAGGGAAGCCAGATTCACTTTTAACAACCATGGTGCTACTTAACAACGGCAGTGATTCACTTAACAACGGTGGCAAGAAAGATCATAAAATGGGCAAAGCTCATTTTTTCTTTTTGGATTTGATTTATATGCCGCCCTTCTCCAGAGACTCAGGGCGGCTTACAAGGCGTTAAGCAATAGCCTTCATCCTTTTGTATATTTATACAAAGTCAGCTTATTGCCCCCACAACTGGGTCCTCATTTTACCTACCTCGAAAGGATGGAAGACTGAGTCAACCTTGAGCCTGGCGAGATTTGAATTTGCAGTAATTGCAGGCAGCTGATGTTAATAACAGTGCTTTAGTCTGCTGCGCCACCAAATGTCTCTTAACAAATGTCTCGCTTAAGAACAGAAATTTTGGCCTCAATTGTGGTCGTAAGTCGAGGACTACCTGTACTTTTGAATTTTCCCTCTTGTCAGTTTGAGGTTATACCCCCTGGGCTAAAGACCTCGGCTAATCATATGTCGAAGTTTTTGCCAAAGTCCTTGATTACTGACGACCTCATTCAATGACTGTCTGTATTATGACAGGGCTGAAAAAGGGGATTTATGAGGCTGCGCTTGTTTGCTGGGTCATATAGAGTCATATAGAGGCCGTAGTTCCCCATCCGTTCTAGGCCAAAGCCTGCTCCTAGGATGGGCTTGCCCCCCCCCCAATCCTCATCCCAGAACCAGCAAACTTACCGTCTGCCAGCCTCTCCCGCCAGCTCTGGGCAGCATGAGCAAAAAACTCGTTATTTAGGGCGCTTCCACTCAGACGCAGCAGTCCGTCTGTCCCAGGCTGGAAGGAAGGAAGAGAGTGTGAAGCACGGCGCACAAACCTTTACCGACTCCCTTCCAAAGATGGGGAACGAAAGGGAGGGGGGGAGAGAAAGAGAGAGACAGAGAGAGAAAGTGACAAAGAGAGAATGAAAGAAAGCGAGAGAAACAGAGAGACAGAGCAAAAGGGAAACAGAGAAACACAGAGACAGACAGACAGACAAAAAAAGACAGAGATAGAGAGAAACAGAGACAGAGAAACAGAAAGAGAGAGAAAAGAGGGAGCAAAAGGGAGGCAAGACAAACAGACAGATGGAGAAACAGAGTCATAGAAAGAGAGAATGAGAGGAGAGAAAGAGAAAGAGACAAAGAGAATGAAAGAGAGCGAGAGAGAGAGAGGGAGGGAGAGGAAGGGAGGTGGGGAGAGAGAGAGAGAAAGAGAGAGACCCTACCTGCCTGTCCACTTCAGGAAGGAGGAGGAGGAGCTGCTGCTGGAAGTGCAGGGGGAGGGCATTGAAGGTCCTGGAATTGATCAGCGCCCGCAGGTTTGTGTTCACCAGGATGGAGCCCGGCGTCTCGAAGTCTATGTCGTCTCCCCTGTTCCTCTTCATTTGCCCTGCAGTTCCCAGAAAGGAACAGACCACCAGAAATGTTTACACAGCAGAGATTCAAGGGAGGCATCTGCGTACACACTCACACAGCTGTAGCTTCTCAACACAGGACATCTTTCTTGGAAGCTGCTGAAAGGCGGCCTCGCCAGCTGTCAGGCGCAGACAACCGGATCCACGCGCGAAGAGTTCAATTCGCTACAGGTAGTCCTCGATTTATGACCACAAACGAGCCCCAAAAAATTTCCGTTGCTAAGCGAGACCGTTGTTAAATGAATTTTGCCATTCTTGCCACGGTTGTTAAGTGAATCTGGCTTCCCCATTGACTTTGCTGGTCAAAAGATCTCAAAAGCTGGTGATTGCAAAGATCCCTGGGACGCCGCAACGGTCGTAAGTATGAATCAGTTGCCAAACCCCCGAATTTTGATCACATGACCATGGGGATGCTGCAACAGTCATAAATGCGAAAAATAGTGGTAAGTAACTTTTTTCCAGTGCTGTTGCAACTTCAAACGGTCCCTAAATGAGGCCCCTTTGATTCTATGGTCTCCTGATTTTCCCACAACAACCCCTTGAGGTGGACTAAGATAAGATGAATAAGAACAGCTGCAGGATTTGGGCTTGGCTAGTCTAAAGCAAAGAAGAATTAGGGGTGCCATGATAGTGGTTTTCCAGTATTTGAGGGGCTGCCCCAAAGAAGAGGGGGTCAACTTATTTTCCAAAGCACCTGAAGGCAGGAGAAGAAACAATGGATGGAGGAGAATTGAGGAGGAACTTCCTAACAATGAGGACAATTAACCAGTGGAACAGCTTGCCACCAGAAGTTGTGGGGGCTCCATCACTGGCGGTTTTCAAGAAGAGATTGGACAGCCACCTGTCTGAAATGGAATAGGGTCTCCTGCTTGAGGAAGGGGTTGGACTAGAAGACCTCCAAGGTCCCTTCCAGCTCATTCATTCATTCTAAGATCTCACCTCACCCCTGTGTGCCTCTTGCTCCCTTCCTCCCCATCCTTTTATCAATTTTAAGCTGATTTAATATTATTTATTGTTTTTATTAGTTTTTGGTGCTTGTAAGCCATCTATGGCATATAAAATAATAAAAAATAAGAGTACATTAATAAAAAAGATTCTGCCACCAGGTGATCCTTTTAAGTCTCTCCCCCATTCTGGGGAAACCTGGCACCTCTTCCTAGCCTGCCCTCCTCTTCAAAAACTATGCTCTGGTGGCTCAGCAGACTAATTAACATCCACTTACATCTGCTGCCTGCAATTACTGCAAGTTCAAGTCCCACCAGGCCTGGATAGCTCAGCAGACTAATGCATTGTAATTTAACTCCAGCTGTCTGCAATTAGTAAGTTCGAATCTCCCCAGGCTCAAGGTTGCCTCAGCCTTCCATCCTTTCTAAGGTAGGTAAATTGAGGACCCAGTTTGTGGGGCAATAAGCTGACTTTGTATAAATATACAAAAGGATGAAGGCTATTGCTTAACACATTGTAAGCCACCCTGAGTCTCTGGAGAAGGGCGGCATATCAATCAAATTTTTTAAAAAAATGCACCAGGAATTACCAGGGCTGGAGGCTAAAATGGACAATTAAGCATCTTGGAAGATGCCAAGAGCAAGCTATTTCCTATTGCTGCCAAGAAAAATACCTTTTATTTATGTTATGCCTCTGCCGTGTGTGTGTGTATGTGTGTGTGTGTTTGTTTTCACCTAGGAGGAGCTTTACTTTAAGGCAACTTGCAAAAGTAAACCCGGCCTTGTCCCTGATGGTCTTTTAAGAGGATTTTAAATCGTTTATTTATTCCAGCCTACATTTGGTTAAGTTGAATGGACTGAGCTTTTAATCTCTTGCTACTTGTTATAATCATGTACTGAGCACTGTTTGTTAACAGTGTTAACTCTATGGTTTGACACAATAGGGGTGATCCCTTGTCAAAACAGTTACCATTCTCTTGCTACTTGAAGAGGGGGGGGGTGTTGACTTATTCTCCAAAGAACCTGAAGGCAGGACAAGAAAGAAAGAAAGGATGGAAACTAACCAAGGCTCCAAATACTGGATATATTTAAGAGAAGTCTGGACAGCCATTTGTCTGAAATGGGATAGGATCTCCTGCCTGAGCAGGGGGTTGGACTAGAAGACCTCCGAGGTCCCTCCCAACACTGTTATTCCAAAAATTGGTAATTACTTCGTTTTCTGCAAAAACCAGCCCCGGAGTGAACCATGGATTCATTTAATAATCACCGTGTTTATTTAGCAGCAGCCTCGTTCATTTAACGACTGCTGCAAAAATCAATGTAAATTTGGGTTGGTACCTGATTTACCTCCATCACAACTTAATAGATGGCGAGGCTGCAGGCTGCATTACTGTCGTATGTCAAGGACTACCTGTAGTAAAGGAAAAGCTTCCCAGAGTTTTTCAGTGCCGACACTTAACAATTGACTCCCTGGTGCACAAAGAAGGCAGGACACCCCACACGCGAGGTTGTGTGATGTCTCTTTAGCTAAAGCCTCTTTGCCTATTAATAGGTGAGGCTGAGATCACGCTGCAGGTCTGAGCGCTACCCGCCTTACGGACCGTTCTAAAGGATTCGCATGCTTCTTCTCACCACAGCGGTTTACAAATGGATGCAACGTCTTGTTATCTATTACCGAGACAGAAATTCAACACAGCATCTTAATGGGATAAATCAAGACAATTGCAACCAATCTGCTTTCCCTTGAGGACCTGAACACTGGCAGGAACCAGGCTGAGAAAATATCTGCAGAGCCCTCACCTCCTGGACGTAAACTGGTTCAACTTCTCCCCTCAAGACAGATGCTATAGGGCATTGCATGCCAAAGCAACCAGACAGATAGTTCTCCCTACCCACCTACCCACCCCCGGTGCCATCTCTCTGCTAAAACACTTAATTCCCACAACACTCATCTTTTCTCATCTTGCCTACCATCCTCTCCTATTGATACCTTATGATTTAACACTTGTTGTTTGTAACTTATGATTAATTAAATCCCCTATTAACATGATTATGACATATTACTTGTTATTTATATGTACACTGTACACTGAGAGCTTATGCACCGAAGACTAATTCCCTGTGTGTCTGATCACACTCGGCCAATAAAGAATTCTGTTCTGTTCTTGTGTTGTGTTCTGTTCCCTCTTCTATTTTCTATTTTCTTCTCTTCTCTTCTCTTCTTTCTGTATTCTCTTTTCAGTATTTTTTTTTCCTTTTTTCTTCTCTTCTTTTCTCCTCTCCATTCCATTCCATTCTATATCCTATCCTTGTTGTTAGTTGCAAAGTCATGTCCGATCCATCGCGACCCCATGGACAACGTTCCTCCAGGCCTTCCTGTCCTCTACCATCCTCTGGAGTCCATTTAAGCTCACGGCCGACTGCTTCAGTGACTCCATCCAGCCACCTCGTTCTCTGTCGTCCCCTTCTTCCCCTTCAATCGTTCCCAGCATGAGGCTCTTCTCCAGGGAGTCCTTCCTTCTCATTAGGGGCCAAAGTATTTGAGTTTCCTCTTCAGGATCTGGCCTTCTAAAGAGCAGTCAGGGTTGATCTCCTCTAGGACTGACCTGTTGGATGGCCTTGCAGTCCAAGGGACTCGCAGGAGTCTTCTTCAGCACCTATCCTATCCTACTCTCTTCTAAATAAAAACAGATGTAAACTTCATCTTACCTGGAACGTCCAATGAAATAGGCACATCTGTAGTATAATGAATTTATGCATTACAGGTAGTCCTTCTCTTGCAACCATCCATTTAATAGCGGTTCGAAGTTACAAAGGCACTGAGAAAAGTGACTGATGACCATCTTTAACCTTTAAGACTGTGATCCCCATGATCACGTGATCAAGTCAGATGCTTTGCAACTCGTTCATGTTTATGACGCTTGCAGGGTCCTGAGGTGACCCCTTTTGTGACTTTCTGACAAGTAAAATCAACGGGGATGTCAGATTCACTCAACAACCATTGCCAATTTAAAAACTGCAGTGATTTGCTTAACAAATATGGGGAGAAAAGTTGTGAAATGGGGCAAAACTCACTTGACGAATTTCTCACAACAACATAAATTTGGGGCTCAATTGTCGTCGTAAATCGAGAACCACCTGTATCTCAAAAGGTGACTCAATGGGTCACAGGTTGTCTGGTACAGGTTGCTCCAACCTCGGCAACTTTTAAGGCTTGTGGACTTCAACTCCCAGAATTCCTCAGCCAGCCAGGTTGGAGAACCCACAGAAAAAACCAAGGGGCTCCCGAGCAATGTCTCACCATTGTGATAAATATAACATCCTAAAAACAAAATTTAAGGAACATTCACACATACACATACAGACAGACAGACACAGAGCATCTTAAAGTCGGCTGGGTCCAAAACTGCTGAAGTTGCTCCTGTTGAGAGAAGACCCCGGAGTCCACCTACCGCCTGAGGGTTTGCGGACTCCCCGGAGCAGATGGGGGGCTTCCCTCGCCATGTCTGTCCTGTTGCAGAGAGCGCTGGGCAACACGGAGGAGCTGCTGCTGCTGCTGCTCTCGTCGCCGACCGGCTTCCCCGCAAACCCTGAAAAAGAGCGAGCGCATCAGCTGCGGCTTCTGATCGTCCTCACGGCCACCTGGGGTTCATCGAGTGGAACATCCTGATAACACAGTCACAGCAGGGGAGGACAGCAGCAAAAGGTTGGGGGCCCTGACTATCTGTTAGACCCTATATCATTTCAGATAGGTGGCTGTCCAATCTCTTCTTGAAAACCGCCAGTGATGGAGCCCCCACAACTCCTGGTGGCAAGCTGTTCCACTGGTTAATTGTCCTCATTGTTAGGAACCCTATCTTACAGAAGGGAAGGCAGTGAATGAATGGGGGGGGGGACACAAGGGCAGCCCCCTCAAGTTACAACTGTGGTTGAGCCTGGAATGAATGGCTGTTATGTTTGTGTCGGTTGTTAAGCAGAGGAGAGTGTGAGTGCGTTAAAAGGTACTGGATGAAAAGGAGTAGCCAGGATGGATGGATGGCAGATATAGATGAGATTAGATGAGATGAGATATGATATGAAGGATGGATAGAAAGATGGATGGATGAATGATATGATATATGATGGATGGAGAGAGAGAGAGAGATAATGATTAGGTAGATAGATGATAGATGTAATGATTAGATAGATTAGATAGATAGATAGATAGATAGATAGATAGATAGATAGATAGATAGATAGATAGACAGACAGACAGACAGACAGACAGATTAGACAGACATAGAGAGATGATAGACATAAATAGATGGGCCACAATTTATACCCACCAGATCAGTGTTTTTAAGTTCAGGAATGTTAAGAATGTGAAGATGGGTGGACTTAGCTATGCTGGCTGGGGAATTCTGGGAGTTGAAGTCCACCCATCTTAACACTCCTATGTCTGAATAACCCTTGCTTTTGGCTAAATTCAAGTCAGTCATAGCAGCAACTAGGAATGCCCAGGAGTGAGCGGAGGCTGGGGCTGGAGGGGCCACATGGATTTGGTAGTCCACAGGGGGGAAGAGGAGCTTCCACTTACCAGAGGAGGGTTCCATGTGGGCCCCGTTTACTTTCAGCGGTGTGAGGACCACGCGTGGAAGCATCACGCCCGTCTTTTTCTTCTGTTTGCTCACCTGTATGGAAGGAAATCAAGAGAGTGTTGCCAGGGGAATAGAGAAGAAGCCCGAAGGTCCAGGATCTGCCTTTCTCAGGAGAAAGCATCAGAGGCCCATTTCAGGACAGCTCAGCCTAGTGGTCATAACCTCAAAAGTCAAACAAGGCCAGCGCTGCTAAAGACCTTTATGGGTTCCCCTCTTTGACCCTGCCCACGGAACAGGCGCGGGTGGTGCTGTTCTACAGTCTCCATACAGATAGTCCTCAACTTATGACCACAATTGAGCCCAGAATTTATGTTGCTAAGTGAGAAATTTATGTTTTGCCCTGTTTTACGACCTTTCGGAAGGCCAGGAGAGTGGGGGCCCACCTCACCTCAGGGCATTGGGGTGGAGTGCTGGGGAGAGAAGTTAGTGGAAGAGAAGTGGCCCTGGTAGATGGAAGTGTCATAAAATGTAGAGTTGGTACAGGGGAGGGAAAGAAAAGCAGGAAGTCACATGAAGCCAGTTTTACCAGCAAAGTAAAGATTTAGCCTGGTAAAAGAAAGACGAAAGGGGAAAATAAAATTGTTTAAGGGCATTAAGAGGCTGTCACTCACACCCAGTAAAAGCTCATTCTTTGCCACCTCAAAAAGCTGTAACTAAATTAAAAAGGGTTTGAATTTATTTATTTATTTATTTATTTATTGGTTCAATTTATATGCCGCCCTTTTCCGGAGACTCAGGGCAGCTTACAACGCGTTAAGCAATAGCCTTCATACTTTTGTATATACCTGCTTAGTAGGCCCCCCCCCAAACGGTGTTTGGCCCCCCCTAAGCGAAGTTACAGGATGCTAAATTTCAGCTGAATATTTATAATAATATTTTTAACGGCAATTGGGGATTGTCAAAGGAACTGCTTAAGAGTAAGAGATAAAAGTAGAAGTAATGGAGTCCCTGCGGATTTTACTCCCCTGGCCGTTGCTGACCTTAGGGGGGTGCTGCTCATCTCCGTTTCAAGGCTGTTGAGCTGGCGCTGCCCAAAGACATTTCCACGGTCATGTGGTCAGCAGGGAGTGCTACCTTCCCACCGAAGTGGTACCTATTTATCTACTCGCATTTTCTTGCTTTCAAACTGCTAGGCTGGCAGGAGCTGGAGCAAGTAACGGAAGCTCACCTGACTGCAAGTGGCGCTCGGGTCTCGAACCAGGGCTGCCGGCTTTCCAGCTGACAAGTCCTGTTGTCCTAACCGCTGAGCCACTGTGCCATCCAGATTAAGAGACGGGGAGAAAGAATTTCTGCATTGAGGCCTTCGGGTACGACCACCATCTGTGAATGTTCTTTGCACTTAATTTCCTGCACCAGTCAGGGGGTTTGACCAGGGGTCTCCAACTTGGCAACATTAAGACCTGTAGACTTCAGCTCCCAGAATTCCCCAGCCCCATCTCAGACCCCTGGGCTAGTAAGTGGCCTCTGAATACTTTCTTCCTTTTAACATACATGCTGTTGCTTCGCTCCCATTTCTGTTCACAACACAGTCACCGTAAATTAAATTAATGCTGAAATACAGGATGTAATTCTCGTAAAAAGCACACCAACTCTCCGCCAGATAATCCAGGGGTGTTTTTGCTCCAATTATTCTATCCAGGTCAACAAAAGATTCTTAGATGACTCATCCAGAGGCCTGTCTTTGGGGGATTTTAATAAAAGTCTGGCCAAGCTTTGGCCAAACTCCTCTCTAGCAGTCAGAGGCAGCCTCCGAGCCCAGGTTTACGCAGCTGCTGTGCCAAATTCCAGGTCCAACTGGCAAATGAGACTGCCACCAGCTCAACCTCGCTTCTATCCCAAATCTTTGAAAGGCCTCTTCCCCGCTGGTCAAGATTACAACTTTACAGCCTTGACAAATTCTGCAGCTTCCATTTCCTTTTTCTAATTCACGAGGCTCTTTAAAGTCTTCCCACATTTAATTCTATTTAAAACGGGTCACACAGAGCAGGGGGGGCTCTGCAGCTGTTTATAAACAGAGAGGAAGCTGGCCACCAAACCCTCTGTGGGGTTTAACTAGAAGCGATGCTAGGGGGAATAGTAGTAGTAGTGGTAGTAGTAGTAGTAGTAGTAATAATAGGGGAGTTCAGGGGGAATAAAGGCAGCTTTCTCTTTGCGACACGGAACAGAATAGAATAAAAGAGTTGGAAGGGACCTGGGAGGTCCTCTAGTCCAACCCCCTGTTCAGCCAGGAAACCCTATACCATTTCAGACAAATGGTTATCCAACATCTTCTTTAAAACTTCCAGTGTTGGGAGAATTCACAACTTCTGGAAGCAAGCCGTTCCACTGATTAATTGTTCCCACTTTTAGGAATTGTCTCCTTATTTCTAGGTTGCTTCTCTCTTTGATTTAATTTCCACCCGTTGCTTCTTGTCCTGCCCTCAGGTGCTTTGGAGAAGAGCTTGACTCCCTCTTCTTTGGGGCAGCCCCTGAGATATCAGAACACTGCTATCATGTCTCCCCTAATCCTTCTCTTCACTAGACTAGACATACCCAGTTCCTGTAACCGTTCTTCATATGTTTTAGCCTCCACTCGTGTAAATTAGAATAAAATAGAGCTGGAAGGGACCTTGGAGGTCTTCTAGACCAGCCCCCTGTTCTGGCAGGAGAACCTATACCATTTCAGATAAGTGACTGTCTAGTCTCTTCTTAAAAACCTCCAGTGATGGAGCATTCACGGTTTCTGAAGGCAAGCAGTTCCACTAGTTAATTGTTCTCACTGTCAGGAAATCCCTCCTTAGTTCTAGGTTGCTTCTCTCCTTGATGAGTTTCCATCCGTTGCTTCTTGTCCTGCCTTCAGGGGCTTTGGAGAACAGCTTGACTCCCTCTTCTTTGGGGCAGCCCCTGAGATATCGGAAGACTGCTATCATGTCTCCCCTAGTTCTTCTTTTCATTAGACTAGCCATGCCCAGTTCCAGCAACCGTTGTTCATGTTTTACCTTCCATCCCTCTAATCCTCTTTGTTGCTCTTCTCTGCACTCTTTCTAGGTATGATCTCACCAAGGCCTTATAAAATGGTATTAACACTTTCATGTGACCTTGATTCCATCCCTCTGTCGATGCAGCCTAGAAGTGTGTTGGCTTTTTTGGCACCTCCGGGGCTGTGCTCACCCATGGTCTGCGGAGCTCCTATCCGGCATTCCTACCTGAGACGCTGTTCTGGTGCTCTCTCGGAGAGCAAGCGAGCTCTTGCTCTGGGACTCTGTGGAACAGGAGGCATTGGAAGAGGTTTCATCCAGAGAAACTAGAAAGAAAGGAATCCTAGCATCAGAATGCAGTCCTCTGGGCAGTTCCGGGGCTCTTAGGGTGACCCACAGCGTTATGACCACACTGGAGCTGAGGGATGGGGAGGGAGGGGGGAATTGAGATAGTTGGGGCTTTGTAGCCAAAATAAAGTATTTTCTCTTGAGAACCAAGGACATTCCCACAGCTGGTCGGAGGAAGGAAGGGTGGTGTCGCCAGGCAACCAGACGGAGCCGCGATTGGACGATGTGACCGATTGTTTTGAGAAAGTGAAAACTTTTTGCTTTTAATCACCGTATTTTTTGGAGTATAAGACACACCGGAGTATAAGATGCACCTACCTTTTTTGGTGAGGAAAAGAAGAAAAAGAAATCTCCCTCTGCCTCTGAGCAATTTTGCCTCATGGCAGCAAATAGCCTGCTTTACTTTCATTTTTCTTTTCAGCATAGCTTGATTAGCACAAGGGAAAAAAAATCTGCTCCAGCAATTTACTTCCTTGCAACAAGCAGCAGAGCTCTGCGCAAAACAGCTGAGAGAAAATCAGCTGAGAGTCGGGAGGCCGATCCAATCAACTTGGGCTAATTAGACTGTGCTGAAGCTGAAAGGAGCTGTTTCTTCTTGCTGTTTGCTTGCAAGGAGGTAAACTGCTGCAAGGCAGAGGCCAAAGGGTGGGGGCCAGTGGGTGGGTGGGGGGCTACATTTGGTGTATAAGATGCACCTAAATTTTCACCCTCTTTTGGGGGGGGGGGAAAGGTGCGTCTTATACTCTGAAAAATACGGTAGGTGAGAACCGTGGGACCCTTCAGAGTCGGTTTTCACCAGATCTGTGCCAATATGATATTTCCAATAAAGCTGTTCTTTGAGGAATCCACCTGCTTGCTATGGAACCCTGACAACCCTTTTGTGAGCTCCGCTGATTGCCTGTTTGCTTCTGGGTCCAACGCAAGGTGTTGGTTATCACCTTTAAAGCCCTGCACGGCCTGGGACCAGGCTACCTGAGGAGCCGTCTCACCTTGATGAGAATAGCCTCTCCCACCTGTGATGGTGGAAGAGGACCCGTCCGTCAAGGAATGCCGCCTGGTGGGATACAGGAAAAGAGCCTTTTCTGCTGTGGCTCCTGCCCTTTGGAACATCCTGCCCCCAAGGGGAGATTCCCCCTTCCGAAAGAGCCTGAGGAGCTGGCTCTGGCCTGGACCCCCAATGGGGGTGCATCACTCTAACGGTGGTTGATGGGCTAAGACCCCACTCCCCACCCACCCACCCCCATGCATCTTGCCCCCTTCCTCCCCATCTTTGTCAATTTTAAATTAATTTAATGGTGGCGCTGCGGTGAGAATGCAGTACTGCAGGCTGACTCTGCCCACAGCCTGGAGTTCGAGCCTGACAGGGATCAAGATTGAGTCAGCCTTCCGAGATCAATAAAACGAGGACCCAGATTGTTGAGGGATGAGAATCAAATAAGGGTTCTACGTTGTAAACCGCCTAGAGAGGGCTGTAAGGCACTGTGGGGCGGGATAGAAGTCTTTAAGTGCTATTCCCATTTATTGTTTTAATGTTTTTAATTATTGTAAGCCACCTAGAATTACCCCCAAGAGAGGTGGGTGGCATATGAGTTAAATGATAAAATAAAATTAAAATAAATTAAAATAAAAATAGCTACGGAGGAAGCAGCTGGAGGAGGTGAGCTCCGAGTAGGAGCACACTTACCGTCATTATCGCCGCTTACAGTGCTGGCAGCTTCATTGGAACCGCTGCTCTCCGCATCGTCCAGCTCTTCTCCTTCAGGTCCAGCGAGGGTCCGAGACCACTGGGCAGCCGCTTTCTGGAAGAACCAATCAGAGCTTGGAGAAGTTGTGTCTGGGGAGCCAGAGGGCAGGTCTATATGGATACAGGTGACCTTAAGGGTCTTCCATTCCCCACTATTCAGCTACTGGGTAGTAGCAACTGTATTCATTTTGAGCCAGCTGCAGTGGTTAGCCAATATAAATTAAAACAGTTGTGGAGTCCTGGGTGCTCTCTGAGCTTGGCTGTTTCATTACCCAACTAGGCAACAGCGCTCGGCGAGTGTGGGGTTTGCTTCCTGTTTATACACAGTAGGGTGGCTTGTCCTGCCAGTGTTGGTGGGGTGTGGTTTTTCTCCTTGACTAGGGTATTGTTTTCTGGTTGACTGTTTGTCTGGTGTTAATCCCCGCTTATCTGGGTGTTAGCTGCTAATTTCTAGTCTTGTTTTGCTTCTTTCTCAGCTTTTTGTTGTCTTATTTGAATGTGGTGTAAATATGGATTATCACTCTGTATCTGTTGATGGCTGATTTGTCTGAATGTCAAGCTTTCAAGAATACCCTAGCATCTGACTTAGTCTAGGATGCTCACAGTTTTTCCAAGTTGGAACTACGGTTGAATCTGTCCGTGTGTTGTGACATTCAGGAGTTTCATTCTTTCTGTTAGCTTATGTTCATGGCTACGCTCTGCTACTCTTCTGTCTGCCTGCCCCACATGGTGGTAGTACTAGTCCTTATTCTGTATGTTTTACATGCAGTCATACACCATATGTACAGTGCTTATTCTCAGGGGTGGGTTCTACTTACCTTTACTACCGGTTCGCAGCGGGGCAGCGCGCACATGTGCACATTCTTCTACGCAAGCGCAGAAACGTTTTGATGACATCAGGGTCGGTGGGTGGAGCCTCCCACCGATTTTACTACTGGTTCTATAGAACCGGTGCGAACCGGAGGCAACCCACCAATGCTTATTCTGCAGGATCCAATTTGGGTCAGTGACCAGGACTAGAGGTTTAGTCTTCCGAGCTTTCAGACTGGGGAACCAGATTGCTGGGGGCAATATGCTAATGCTAATGCAATATGCTAATATGCAATATGCTATATGCTAACTTTGTAAACTGCTTAGAGAGGGCTGTACAGCACTATGAAGCGTTATAGAAATCTAAATAATAATAATAATAATAATAATAACAACAACAACCACCACCTCTCTCTACTGGAATGAGTCTTCTATACCAGAGGTCTCCAACCTTGGCAACTTTAAGACCTGTGGACTTCAACTCCCAGAATCCCTCAGCCACCAAAGCTGGCTGAGGAATTCTGGGAATTGAAGTCCACAGGTCTTAAAGTTGCCACAGTTGGAGACCCCTGCTTTATACTGTATTTGCAAGGACTGTGACAGCCACCATGTCAGACAGAAGGCATGCAAGGGAGCTGTCATAAGTGCAACATGACACAATATTCCTATTTAAGGTCGAATATTTACTGATCTGTGGCCAAAACTGGCTAATGACAAGTTCTAGATCTTATCCCCGTCAGGTGCTAAATTCATACAAAATTCAGCAGTCACTTACACCTTCACCCAGTCTCTGGATTAAAGGAACAGAAACCTGGCCTTACCTTGAGAGTAAATAGGCTGATCCGGCCAGGAAGCTTATAAAAAAGCCCATCGCAGCTTCTTGAATTGGAGTGAAGCATTGCGTTCAGGCAGGCCAGCGGGGATGTGCCACTGCAGGGGGGGGAAACAGGCATAATTCGATCTGTCAGTCGAGACATAGGTTGCTTTGGAACTAGTGAAACAAACAACTGTGGCAAATTCTGATAATCCAACATATTATATGCTGCCCAGAGTCATCTTCTGGCAAGACAAGGAAGGAAGGAAAGGAAGGAGGGAGAGAGGGAGGGAGGGAGGGAAGAAAAAGAGAAAGAAAGAAAGATGGAGAGAAGAAAGAAAGAAAGAAAGAAAGAAAGAAAGAAAGAAAGAAAGAAAGAAAGAAAGAAAGAAAGAAGAGAGGGGAATGCAGGAAGGAGAAACAGAGAAAGAGAGAGAGAGAGAGAGAGAGAGAGAGACGGGAGGGAGGGAGGAAAAAGAGAAAGAAAGATGGAGGGAAGAGAAACAGAAAGATAAAAACAAAGAGAGAGAGAGAGAGACAGGGAAGGAACGAAGGAAGGAAGAAAGAAAGAAAAAAGGGAGGGAGGGAGGGAAGAAAAAGAGAAAGAATGATGGAGGGAACAGATAGATAAGATAGATAGATAGGAAGAAGGAAGGAAGGAAGGATGGAAGGAAGGAGAGGGGGAAGGCAGGAAGGAGAAACACAGAGAAAGAAAGAATGAACAAAAGAGAGCGAGAGAGGAAGGAAGGAAGGAAGGAAGGAAGGAAGGAAGGAAGGAAGGAAGGAAGGAAGGAAGGAAGGAAGGAAGGAAGGAAGGAAGGAAGGAAGGAGAATGCTGCAGCTCAGGTCCCAAATGGATGCAAGGAGTTTCCAGATCCTCTGCTGATAATCAAGCAGGGTTTTTTGTCTTGTTCTGGTTAATCTCCAGAATATGGAGCTAGCCAAAGAGCTGGTTATGTGTGTTTTGAATTTCTGTAAGTTTATTTCAAGGACAAGTAAGTTTGGATCCAACACCGTGGACCCCCTACCTCCAGCTCCCCTTTGTGTAGCAATTCTCCCAGGCTGTTCCCCATCCACTTTAGCCTCCACTGGGCGAAGAAGCTACTGCTTTGGCTGGCTAGACAAAATTCAGGCTGCCCGGGTATCGTTTGACTAATGCTGTCAAAAAACAGCCTCTGGCTTTGTCTGAGAATTGGGAAAGCAATATTCATCCAGGTATTAAGGACTGGCTCCCAGAAACGAGCCTCTTATCCATTTTGGGAAAAGCCATGTTACAGGTAGTCCTCGGCTTACGACCACAATTGAGCCCCACATTTCTGTTGCTAAGTTGTGTTGTGTTTTATGACCTTTCTTGCCACAGTTGTTACGTGAATCACTGCTGTTGCTCAGTTAGTAACATGGCTGTTAAGTGAATCTGGCTTCCTCATGGACACCGCTTTGCGGGAGATCGCAAAAGGGGATCATGTGATCCCGGGGCACTGCGACCGTCGTAAACATGAGTCGGCTGGCCAAGCATCCGAATTCTGATCACGTGACCACGGGGATGCTGCAGTGGTCGTGTGAAAAACAGCCATAAGTCCCTTTTTTCAGTGCCGTTGTAAACTTTGAACAGTCACTAAACAATGGTTGTAAGTTGAGAACTACCTGATATTTTACAATAACAAAGCAGAATTATTAGGTAATGTCTTTTTTTTTGTAAACCAATGATTTCTGTATGGTTGGTGTATGGGTATGTATACACACACTATACAATATTTAGCACTGGCAAAAATCTGGGTTTTTACAATTTGGGGGTTTCTCTTCGATTTTTTGCTTAAGTTTAGTTTTTTCATTGTTTATTGTCTCTAGTATTTCCTTCATTATAAGTTTGTACTCCAAAACTTGTTAACGCTGGTAAAAACACAGTTGGAAGAAAACAATCTATAGCATCTGGAGAGGAGAGTTCTCTAAAGAGGAAAAGGCGAAGAAAAACAGAACTGAAAGTAGTTCTAAAATTTGTTTTTCAATCTTGAACCCCTCAAGAGAGCTTCGGTTTCAATTTATTTTTTTAAAAAAGGAAGTCGGCTCATACACTGAAAAACTACATACTGCCCTAACGAAACTGTTTCAAACCCTTCCCCACCCCCGTTTTCGCCCTCCCCAGGCTCCTAGAAAGCCTCTGGAGCCTGGGGAGAGAAAAACGGGCCTTCCCCACCACCACCCTGAGGCCCTCCGGAGGCAGGAAACAGCCTGTTTCCCTACTTCCGGTGGGCCCAGAAGGCCTGAAAATCAGCTGGCCGGCCCGCACATGCGCACCGGAGCTGAGCTCTCGTGCTCACCAATATGGCTACACGTGCCAGCTGTGGCACGCATGCCATAGGTTCACCATCACGGCCCTAGACCATTCCAAACAAATGGTTATGCAATCTTTTCTTTAAAATCTCCAGGGATGGAGGACCCACAACTTCTGGTGGCAAGCTGTTCCACTGGTTAATTGTTCTAACGGTTATGAAATTTCTCCTCAATTCCAGGTTGCTTCTCTCCTTGGTTAGTTTCCATCTGTTGCTTCTTGTCCTGCCTTCAGGGGCTTTGGAGAATAGTTTGACTCCCTCTTCTTTGGGGCAGCCCCTTAGATATTGGAAGATTGCTCTCCTGTCTCCCCTAGTCCTTCTTTTCATTAAACTAGACATACCAAAATCCTGCAACCGTTCTTCTTAAGTTTTAGCCTCCAGCCCCCCTAATCACCTTTGTTTGCTCTTCTCTGCACTCTTTCTAGAGCCTCAACCCTCACATGTGGGACCTCCTCATCCCATTATTGACTATATCCTCTCTGCTTTCACGGGCCCAGGTACAGAGTGACAGAAGGACAGAAAAAAGATTCGCAAGGGAGAAAAAAATCAACAAAGTAGCCCTTCTTCACTTAATGCTGGAACAGATTGAGGCCAATTTTATTTGCATCTGTTCTTTCCTATGATCAGAAGAGACTCAAAAGATTGTTTAACTCTCCCCCCCCCCCCCCCCCCCCCGAGAAACAAAGGCGTATCATTGTCAAAATACGGCCTGTGGTTAAAAGAAAGAAACCCACCCTGAGTGAGCCATTAAGTGACAGCATGATTAATAGGGTTAGCCTTTGATCTGGCTGGCAAGAAACAAAACATCCCAACCCTGAAGACAGACTCACATAACTTTCTGGAAAAACTCTTTGTAAATGTTCATGTTTAATCAGACAAGAACACTTAACAGTAACAGCTTTTTGTCTCAGAAAAATAAAACAAAGTTTAGCTGCGCTAAATGGATAGGACTGTCACTCCAAGCTCACAGAAATAAACCTTGCCATGTGGGGTCCTGGCTGCTCTCTGAGCTTGGCGGTTTTCTTGCAGATGTTTCATTACCCAAGTAGGTTAACATCTTCAGTGCCAGAAAGGAGGGGGGTTTGCAGGGAGGAGGAGGAGGTCCTTGGTCCGTCTCCTCTTTTCTGAGCTTGGCTGTTTTCTTGCAGATGTTTCCCAACCCAACTAGATAACATCATCAGTGCTAGGAGGGTAGTTTGCCGAGTGGAACAGGACGATGCCTATGGGAACCTTGGTGCTCTCTGAATTTGTTTTTTTTTTCTTACAGATGTTTCATTAACTGAATAGGGAACGTCATCAGTGCTGAAAGGGAGAGGGGTTTGCACTGTTGTTGTTCCCTAGTTGGGTCACGAAACCTCTCCCAGAAAACAACCAACCCCAGAGAGCACCAAGGACCCCATAATCTTCCTCTTCTTCTTCCCCTCCTCTCTGCAAACCCCCCATCGGCCCTTTTAGCACTGCTGATGTCTATGGAGATTCTCAGTCATCCAGGTCACCCAAAGGTGCTTTTTCAAGAAGCAACTGGACTTTTCGGTTTTTCTTTGAATCAGCAGTGCTGCCCAAAGGTGCTTTTTCAAGAGGCAAATGGACTTTCTGGTTTTATTCTTTGAAGACGTTTCGCTTCTCATCCAAGAAGTTTCTTTGGCTCTGACTGGATGGCGGGGAATGGAAGGATTTATACTCCTTGCTGAGTAAATTCTTCCATCCTCCACCATTCAGTCAGAGCTGAAGAAGCTTCTTGAATGAGAAGCAAAACGTCTTCAAAGAAAAACCATAAAGTCCAAGTTGCCTCTTGAAAAAGCACCTTTGGGCAGCACTGCTGATGTTCCTTAATTTGGTAATGAAACCTCTCCAAGAAAACCACCAAGCTCAGAAGGCACCAAGGACCCCACAATTCAACCCTCAACTACAGATATTCTCTTCTATGCCCTTCCATGATGTTCACCCACCCCCCTTACCTGGTGGTGACAAACCCAACAAAACGTACTAACTTGAACAAAGGGCACCATGCAAGACAAGTCAGGAAACCCTCCAACCCAAGCTAAAAGTCACCCTAAGGCATTCCAAAGCGGAAAGGCCGAAGAGAAGAAAGTGAGGGAAAAAGAAGGAAGCCAATTTTAGCTCCTCCATCCTTCGACTTAGCAGGAAGAACAGGACTAACCTCATTTCCTTTAGGCCCTCCGTTTCTATCACCTGCAGAATCTGTTTCGGGGTCATGGGTCCATCAGAATAGTTTTCCAGCACCTGAAAAAGAGAGAGAGAGAGAAAAAAAATCCCAGGTTTAATGTACATAAACTAACCCGGGGATATTCAACCACAATTGAAAGGCAAAGATGGCTTAACCTTCCTGAAAAGCTAACTGGGATGAACTTTAGAGTCCTAACGGTTTAAGAGCGCGCCAAGATATATTTTAAACGATAAGAGTGCCTGGCCAGACTCTTTCAACCGTTGCCTTGGGGCTGAGCTATACCAGACACAAGAGACTTGTGGTCTTGGATATCTCTGGCTTTTTTCCCCTCTTTTTAAAATGCAGTCACGAGGATGGGCTCAACGCAACTCAAATGAGTCAGTGTCCCTTGAGGGATTTCTTTTAGCCTTTCCCCTTGCCTGTTTTTCACGTCTACGTAAATGGCCTCCCTCCGAGTTGTCGTTTGCCCCACTCAACAAAATACTCCCTATGTCTAGCGATGGGCAAGTGGTTGAGAAGAATAAATACTTTGGGGGGTTGTGGGGGGGAGGACATGGCTCCACCCACCCATCCAGGGGGAATTATTTAGATATGGGGTCATAATCAAAGTTATTTTCCTGGCTACAAGGAAGAGCGGCCAGAAAAGGCTTCAAGCAACTAGCTGCAGCTAGAGAAATACAGGCAGTCCTCGATTTATAACAGTTCATTTAGTGACCGTTCAAAGTTACAGCGGCACTGAAAAAAGGGACTTATGACCATTTTTCACATTTACGACTGTTGCAGTATCCCCATGATTACATGATCAAAATTCAGATGCTTGGCAAGTGACTCGCATTTATGACAGCGTCCCAAGGTGTTGACATGAGCCCGGGACACCGCAACCGTCATAAATACAAGTCGGTTTCCAAGCACCTGACTTTTGATCGCATATCCATGGGGATTCTACAACGGTCGTTAAGTGTGAAGAATGGTCATAAGCCACTTTTTTCAGGGCCATTGTAACTTCGAACGGTCACTAAATGAACGGTTGTAAGTCAAGGACTACCTGTACAGATGAGGCCTATTGTAAACTTTAGAGAGACAAGCTTGAATATGGATGCTTCTGTGAATTATTTTTCATAACAGCCCACCTGGATCAAAATAGCCAGTTTTCTTTCTGCTGGTTTTAACAGTTATAGGATCCGTATTTTTCGGAGTATAAGACGCACATTAGTTTTTGGGGAGGAAAATAAGAAAAAAAAAATCTGCCTCTGCCTATCAGCACCCATCGGTATTCATCTGGCTAGTGTCTTTGCAGCAAACAGCCTGGTCAGCTTCAGCAGGTTATTGCAGCCTGATTTCGCACAAGCAGCTGATTGGCGGTTGGATTGGCCTCCCGGAATACCGCCTATCAGCTGTTCCAGGCTGCGGGGATCACCACAGCCTATCAGCACCTCCGTGCATTGCTTTTTCGGCCTCCGCACGCTGTTTTAGATCCGTTCCAGGCTGCCGGGATTGCCGCAGCATATTGCCGCCGATCGCCACCTCTGCGCGTTGCGTTTTCAGCCTCTGAGCATCGCATTTTCGGCTGCTTCCAGGTGGCAGGGAGCAGTAGCGGCAGGAACTGGTGAAAAACACGAAGCTCAAAGGCCAAGAACAGGGCGTGTGGAGGCCGAAAATGCAATGCAAGGAGACGGCGATCGGCGGCAATGTGCTGCGGCGATTCCCACAGCCTGGAACGGGTCTAAAACAGAGTGTGCAGAGGTCGAAAACATGACCGTGTGGAGGCTGAAAATGTTGCTTCAGCAACATTCAGTGTATAAGACGCAGAGACATTTCCAGCCATTTTGGGGGGGGGGGAGTGCGTCTTATGCTCTGAAAAATATGGTATTTGTTTTTTGTTCTGAGATTCTCCTTGATTTTCCGCAGCAGTGTTTCCCAAAATAACCAAAGCTCTGAGATAAGGATCAGGTCCATATTCTTTGGCTGGAATATGTGATCAATTTCTTACACATCCTCCAATTTCCCTTTTGCTGTTCAGATCCATGCAGCTGAATGGAACAAAGCCGAGCATATTTTAAGAGGGTAAGGACAGAATTCTGTGAAGCTCTTTTGTCAAAAGAAAGGATAAAACAAAGTCAATGTAAAACACAACTGAGAAAAAAAGCAATTTCTGGTTCTCTTGATGTTAAAAAAAAAAAAAGAGGGTTTAAAAAAAAAAGCCACCCAAACATATCAAAAGATACTCTGTTTTACATAGTGTCTAGCCTACAGCTAAAAGTCATGCAAATTATCTTTAATGTGAAACTTCATTTAATGCCTTTCCTAATGGTGGATTAGCTGCCAAAATTCTTTGCAGTGAAATGGTTAATTTTCAGCGGCACATTTTTCAACGATCGGAGTGGTTGCACAATTTCTTAATGCCCCAGTTTGCCAGACCTCGTAACAGTAACCTATAATAAAAACATACTGTTTTCGAATTTCTGATTTACAGCCATTAAAATAAGTGTCAACCACTTCTAGTGGCACCGAAAAGAACCCCAAGTTAAAAACGTTAAGGTGATGCAAACACTGATAGTAAGTAGATTGATAGAAAACACTCCAAATAGAGGCAATTTAGGGCAGTAGTTAAGGCAGAGGAATAGAAAGCTGGAGATCAAGAGTTCAAGTCTTTCCTTTGGCATGAGAGCTGTCTGGGTAACTTTGAGCCATTCCATCACAGCCCAACCCCCACCTCACAGGATTGTTGTTGTGGGGAAAATAGGAGGAAGTTGTGTTGGATATGTCTATGGAGGTTCATATGCTCACTGCTTGGGAAGGAACGAAGGAAGGAAGGGAGGAAGGGAGGAAGGGAGGGGGAGGGAGGGTGATAGATAGGGAAGGGAAGAAAAGGAGGGAGGGAAGAAGCGAAATGAAGGAATGGAAGAATGGAAAGAAGGAAGAAAGGGAAGGAAGAAAGAAAGGAAGGAAGGGAAGCTCATAGCCTCTGAAAAAGAGAAAAAGCTTAATCTGAATTCAGTATTTTGCTATTAGAGTATAAGCAGCTGCTAGAAAATTAAATGGATTTGTGCTTCCCAAAGAAAGCAAAGGAAACCATGCCTACTGTGAGTGAATTTAGTTTGGAAGGAGTCGCAAGGCATAAAGCCCACACAAGAGACAGGCCCCTGGCATCTAATCAAGGGATCTAAGAAGGTGTTAAGCCTCAGGGCTCTGAAATAGCCACCCTAATTCAGGGCAGAGATAAAGGCATATTCTTCAGTGACACCACAAAATTACCTGGAGGATAAATACCCTTTTTGACCAGTTGGGCTTTAGTGAAAATACGGACAGGCGTAAAATTAATCGGAAGCTTGTGAAATTCAACTACAAACAAGATGCACATGTAAACACCAAAGAACAGGAAGCCTGTTCCTAAGAGACATAAATCAATAGGAAACGTGTCATCGTTATGATTCTTTGACTTTCAGCAAAATGACACCAGCTGCACAATGGCCACGAAGGTGTGAAGCCACATCCGTGTGTGTGTGTGTGTGCTGAACACAACGTGATAAAAAGCACCGGTTGGTTTTTGCACATGTTTCTATGACCGCACGTTCAACAGCCATGGTGACTTATGCCCCACAATTCAAAGAGGAAGACACACCATTCATTGCCAGCTGAAAAAGCAGACTGCTAAGAAGACAGGCCTCTGTTACAAATCCTATCGGCTCAGAAGTCACTTGTGGAAAAAAGTGCAAGATCAGGTCAGGAACAAGGAGGAACCACATCTCCCCTTACGTTGGATCCCCCCAAAAAAGGATCTTCTGAACAGCTTCTCTGAAAATAATCACCCGCTGGTAAATCAATTACTGCTATTACAGAGAGTTCTCAACTTGCAACCGCAATGCCAGTCTAACATTTTATTGAGTTATAAAATATTGCAAAATGCAAAAAGTCAATAGAAAAGCAGTGGGGAGGAAAAGGGGGAAGAGAAGTGAGGAAGAATAAGAAAAAAAAAAATAAGAAAAGGAAACACTGACTTCCGACTCTCTCTGTTGCAGTAAAATAAGGCATTAACATCAAATCACAACTTTTTGCTTTTTCATAATAATAATATGAACCAGCCCTTGCTGTAAATCCACTTGCAACCACAATCGAGCCCAAAAGTTCCACTGCTAAATGAGACAGATGTGAGGGAACGTTGCTCCATTTTACGACCTTTCTTGCCAAAGTGGTTAAGTGAATCGCTTAACCACTCTGCAGTTGTTAAGTTAGTAACCCGGTTGTTAAGTGAATCTGGCTTCCCCCATTGACTTTGGCTTGTCAGAAGGTCTCAAATGGGGATCACGTGGCCCCAGGACGCTGCAACGGTCATAAATGTGAGTCAGTTGCCAAGCGCCTGAATTTTGATCACGTGGATGCTGCAACTGTTTTAAGTGCGGAAAACCCTAAGTCTGTGATCAAAACTAGACGCTTGGCAACCGACTCATATTTATGACCGTTGCAATGTCCTTGGGGGGGGTGGGTATCATGTGATCCCCTTTTGGGACCTCCTCACAAGCCAAGTCAACGGGGGAAGCCAGATTGACTTAACACCCATTATTAACTTTACAACTGCAATGATTCAATGAACAACTTTGGCGTCGTGAGGTAGGGGAAGAAAAATTCATTTCACAACTGTCTCCCTTAGCGACCGAAATCTTGAGCTCGGGGGTGGTTGTAGGTTGAGGACCAGCCGTATTTACCACTTCTGAAGCATTCTCTCTCCTGTGGTATCTCCGGATTTATCCTTACACTCTTCAGATAAAAAGGAAGCCAAAAACTCTTGAACTGAAAGGCAGGGCCAGCCAAAGATTAATGGGGTTTTTTTCCCCCCATTCCTTCTTGCATTCCTTGAAGTCATCTGAGCACATGTAGATAATTTGGGAAGAGGCTTTTATCTCTCTCTCTCCCTCCCACCAGACTAAAGATTAACGGAGCAGGCCAATCTCGGTTCTGCTTTCAACATTCCTGTTCCACCTTCTGGTATGGATGAGAAGGCATTTCTGCTTCTGAAACTTCTTTTCCTTTTTTTTTTTTTTTTGGTGCATGCAAGAGAATTTTTGAAAAAGGGACTGGC